CATCCCCAAGCCTGTGTGGTCTTCAGTAGATTTTGATAAAGCATGACAAGGCTGTGTGTCTGTTTTGTTCTAAGTTGAACTTGTCTGCATAGTCGTTCTAACTTTAGAGAGAAGGTTTCCCAGGCATCTTCTTCAGCCTGACCAGGGGTGGTGATGCGCATTCCGAAGCATTCCAGTGAGGTGCTTGTGTATCGGTTCACTTCCGGCTGGCTGTTTCTATAGAACTTCCAGCTGTTACTGTGCTGCTGTCTCTCCATCTCCTTTGGTTGATTTTGGTAGCAGGAAGAAATTTTTTTCTGTTATTTTTAGGCCTTATTGGGTCTATCGGAGATGATTTTAGTTTAGGTTTAAGGATCTAAAATTGTTTTTGAAGGAGCTGAGCTAGAAATCCTAAGACAGACTGCCTTTGAGGGTTGTTTGGAAGACTCGGTGGCATTTCAGTCGCTGCAGAAAGCCGCGCGGGGTGCTGAGCGGCACTGCTTTGGATACTGAGTAAACAGGTTCTTAGAACGTTGGGGCCGCAGTGGCCCTGGCTGTAATGCAATCTGCTGGTTTTCAGATAAAGAAACTGAAGCCTGGAGATGCCTGAAGGTCGCTCGGAGTTAATGACACGGTCGATTCTAGATCTGAATTTGCCAGCTGCTAGTTTGGGGCTCTTTGTGCCATACCATACTGTTCAAAAGGTTGGGAAAAGGGCGTGCCTAGAGCTCATGGCAGCCAGAATGCATTTTCTGGTGATTGCCTTTCTAATGTTTCCATCTTAAAGGATTTTGCAATTCTTAGTGGGGCTTTCATGTGCTTGTAGTAATAAATTTACTGAGCAATTTAGTATTCACTTGAGGTTTAGGTACTGTTGACCCATTTTAGAGATGAGAAGTTATGGCTTAGAAAAGCTAAATAACTTAATGATGTTATATCCATGGATAAGTGGAGGTGCGAGGAGTAACATCTAGTTCTGATTTCAAAGCTTAGTCTGGTAATGGTGGCTTTTAGTCCTTGTGATTTGAGAGTAAGTGGTCTTCTACACTTGTGAAGATGTACACAGTGGAGCACCTGGCTAACTGTGAATGGCAGTCTAAGCTTGGGCTCATAAGTAGCCCCAGAAATCTGGATTGTCATCATAAATTATCAACCAGAGCAGAGTGAGTGAGGAAGGGCTGTTTATGAGTGAACACTGGATATGCTGGATACAGTTATGTTTTGTTGAAATGTAAAGATGATCTTGCAGTAGACTCTTTTTTTTTATTCATTCCAAAAACAATTCACAAATGATACCAGCAATGCCACTGGATTTATGCAATCCATAGTCTGAATGTTTCATTTCGTGGAGAGTTTTTTGTTTGTTTTAGGATTTATTTATTTTATTTGAATGAGTTACAGAAAGACCTCTTCCCTGTTCTGGGTCACTCCCCAAATGTCACAGCATCCAGGGTGGGGCCATGCTGAAGCCAGGAGCCAGGAACTGCGTCCAGGCCTCCCAAACACTTGGGCCACCTGCTGCTGCTTTGCCAGGTGCATCTGCAGGGGGCAGTATTGGGATTGGAGTAGCTGGGACCTTAGCTCCTGCTCACAGGGGCTGCTGGCATCGCACGCAGCAGCTTCACCTGCCGCATCACAACGCTGTCCCGTGGAGAGCTTATTTGTACTGTAGAAAACCGGCATGTTTATTTTGGGGCCCTTTAATACCATCACTGCTTGCTTATTAGCACTTGTTTTTAAGCACTTTATGCCCTCTTCCTCTGTAAACTTTACACTTTTAAGACAATATAAGTGATAGCGTGTTAAGAGAGAGGTCTATTTTATTTGAGAGGCAGAGTGACAGAGACATCGTGATCTCCATCTGCTGGTTCACTCCCCAGGCTTGCCTGGGCTCTGCTGAAGCCATGAACCTCACCAAGGTCTCTCGTGTCAATGGCAGGGGCCCAAATACCGGGCCATCCTCAAACGGGGTTTGTACAGCAAACCTGCTGTGTGGATCCTGAAAGGCCCGCATTTTAGATAGTAGTGACTACAGTATCCCTGTCGTGGGGCTGGTGGTGGGGCAGGGTTAAATGATACTTGCAGTCAGTACACAAGGGCTCAGTACAGATCAATTGGAGTTAGAGTTACTGTGGCCCTCTCCACCCTGCCTCCAGCACTGTGTGGATTTGTGAGTGCCTTGTGTCTGTCTGGCCCGTAATGCTAGTAGTTCTTGCGGTGGGTGGCAAGTGACATTCGATTAACATCTATGAGATAGCAGCTGTTCCCAGATGGACACTAAACCAGTGTGTTCTCTCCTTTAATCCTCTCAGTGGTCCTGACATCTCTTCCACAATTCCAAAGAGAGAGACTGCGCCTCGCATCTTGGGAGTGACGAGCTAGGGTTTAAACCCAGGATCAGCTCAGTTCTCTCAGCGCTGCCCTGTGCTGCCTCCTTCCTGAGGTGACCTGCGTAGGATTAGGACTCACTTCGCTTTTCTTCAAAAGAGCAAAGCAAAAATAAGCTTACATAATGTCTGAAGCACACTGTGTGTCACCTTCCAAGCCTGGGTCAGTGGTTTTCGCCCCTAATTTCTGTCAGGGTCCTGCTAACCACACAGCTTAGGGGGCTCTTGCTCTGCTTCCAATCCCACGCTGCCCCGGGACTCTTGGCCCTTCCCTCCCCCTCCTGTATTGGCTGTCCAGGGAGTCCTTTCTTGTAGTGCGATGCTGGTTGTCTTCCTGCTGCTCTAGTCTTATCTGTACTCTGCTGTGCAAATGCTAAGATCTATTTTCAATTAATGGTATACACATATGATTAACTCTATACTAAGTAAAGAGTTCAACAAATTGCATTAAGAAAAAAACCTTCCTCAACAGTCAAGACAAGGGCTAATCAAAGTCATTGCCTCTTGAAGTGTTAATATCATTTCTATATATTACCTTTTAGTTGCTCTGTTAGTTACCACAAATTAGGGAGAACATATGATATTTGTCCTTTTGGGACTGGCCTATGTCACTAAGTATGTTTTCCAGTTGCATCCATTTTGTTGTAAATGACAGGATTTCCCTTTTTTTTTTTTAACCACTGTGTAGTGTTCCATGTTGTGTATGCCCTATAATTTATCTAGTCTTCAGTTGATGGGCATTTGGGTTGATTCCATGTCTTAGCTATTGTGAATTGAGCTGTAATAAACATGGGGGTACAGATAACTCTTTGATGTGCTGATTTCATTTCCCTTGGGTAAATTCCCAGGAATGGGATGGCTGGGTCATATAGTAGGTCTATATTCAGATTTCTGAGGTATCTCCATAAACTGTCTTCCACAGTGGCTGCACCAGTCTACATTCCCACCGTTAGGGTGCCTTTTCCCCCACATCCTCTCCATTTTGTTACTTGTTGATTTCTGTATGAAAATCATTGTAATGGGGGTGAGGTGAAACCTAATTGTGGTTTCGATTTGCTAGTGATACTGAACATTTTTTCATGTGTCATACACTTTGTGTTGACTCTGATAGGTGTTTTGTTTTGGAGATTTGCTGATTTGTTTGAAAGAGTTAGAGAATATCTTCCATCTGCTGCTTCCATTCCCCAGATGGCTGTAATGGCCAGGGCTGGCCTAGGCCAGTGCCAGCAATTTCATCTAGTCTCCCCCATGGGTGGCAGGGGCCCAAACACTTGGGCCCTCTTCCATTGCTTTTCTCAGGTCATTTGCAGGGAGCTCGATGGAAAGTGGAGCAGCTGGGGCCGGTGCTGTGGCTCACTAGGCTAATCCTCCGCCTGCGGCGCCAGCACACCGGGTTCTAGTCCCGGTCGGGGCGCCGGATTCTTTCCTGGTTGCCTCCCTTCCAGGCCAGCTCTCTGCTGTGGCCCGGGAGTGCAGTGGAGGATGGCCCAAGTGCTTGGGCCCTGCACCCACATGGGTGACCAGGAGAAGCACCTGGCTCCTGGCTTTGGATTAGCGCTGTGTGAACCAATGGCAAATACCTTTTTCTCTCTCTCTCTCTCACTGTCCAGTCTGCCTGTCAAAAAAAAAAAAAAAAAAAGGCAAGCAAGAAAGTGGAGCAGCTGGGATCTGAACTGATGCCCATATGTGATGCAGGAGTGAAGGCTGTGCTTTCTAGTGCTGGGAGGGAGCTGAATCAGGAGAGGAGGAGCCAGGGGTTGTAACCTGCTGTGCCACAGCACTGGCCCCAGCAGTGACTTTAAATACAGACTTTGTAGGTTGCACCTTCTTTACTGTTTCCTGGGCATGACTCATGTGACTTCAGATTCTTTGGGTTTTTTGTTTTGTTTTTTTTTGCATCTTGGAGATTAAAGAATTACTTTAATATTTGAGTATCATTTTGGCTTATCTGGTATCAAAAGTAGACATGTTTTGGGTAGCAGTATATATTTCTCTTACTTTGTCCAGAGATGTCATTAGTTGACCTGCAAGGTGATGAAAACTATAGAATTGGATTGTTGTTTGGTCACAAAATTGTATTGTAGGATAAAACTTCAGTCATTGGAGCAACCTTTTCTGTAGACGGTTTACAGGCCTATATGTATTTCAGGGACTTGAGAAATCATTTATCTTAAAGGGATGAAATTTAATTTATTTGGCGATCTTGAGGACAAAGGGGTTGTCACGACACTTTAAGGGCTCATGACAGGCTCCTTGGACTAGAGATATCCCGAGGGCACATCTGGAGAAGCAGAGCATAGATTTGTGAAGCAAAATCGGACTCACTGGCTGTGGGCTGAGCTGGTACTTGTATGGTATCTGTGAAGCAAGGGCTTACACAGCAAGTCAGGAGAATAAGCGTGCCTTTTGAATATATTTCAGTAACTGAGAATGCTTTAAAGTTGATTGTAATTGGTAATTTTTTTCTGAGTATGTTAAATAGACTTCTCATTTGAAAACCTTAGTTGCCATTGATCTGAGTTACTGAAGTTTGTAGTGTGTTATTGAACTTTTGTTTTTTCACTGGGTATGAAAAGATAAGTAAAAAGAATGTATACGTCTCAATTTTTCATAGAATTTATTTCTATTAAACAGCACCTGTGGAATCCTCTCAAGAGGAACAGTCATTGTGTGAAGGTAATTTTTTTTATTGATGTAACATTAAAAATCAATTGGAAAAATGCTGTATATGCTGAGCAAAGTTAAATATTGTTTGGAAGTATACATGGTATCTTAATCTCTTTTCTAGGCTCCGTTTCAGCTGTTAGCATGGAACTTTCAGAACCTGTTGGTAAGAAAACTTCTGACCATATTAATACAGTAATATTAAATTCTTGCATTCTCAAGATTTAAGGTGCAAATACATTACTGTAAACAGCACTCATACTTAAGACACATTGGGTCTTTGCTGTTAGCATTGAGAAATCAGAACTAATTGGGCATTAACAGTGCCTTAATAAATTCCGTGACTGTGGTTAGAGTTGAATGAAGAATGCTAAAGTGAATTTCAGTAGTGGTACCTGTTGCATTTACTCTGAAAGATTTCCTTCCTTTTTGTAACTTGATGACTCCGGAAGTGTTTCGTGTGCCCAGCAATACGGGTAAAGTTGACATCAGAATTCTCTGCCTTCAAGAGGAAAAAGAAAATGCCTCCTGAATTGTGTTTTCAGTCCCTCCCCTCGCTGTGGGGCGGCCTTGACACGGATAATTAGGCTGTGGGAATGGCGAGCTCTTGTTTGCATGTCTGTCGTCCTGGAAGGGGAGCTTGCTGGAGCAGCAGCTGTCTGACTGCTGGAGGCCAGGCCGGCCCGAGCGCAGTAGCCTTTCCTGTGGTGAAGGGATTCTCGCAGCAGCCGCTCGGCTGGAAATGCAGCTGTGTATGCCAAGTTCCATTCGTGGTTGTAAAGCGTGTATTTGAAGTATAGATTATACATCTTTTCAGAATACTAAATGAAAATGTCTTATTAATTCAGTAGAGAACGGAGAGACAGAAATGTCCCCAGAAGAATCATGGGAGCACAAAGAAGAAATAAGTGAGGCAGAGCCAGGGGGTGGCTCCCTGGGAGATGGAAGGCCACCGGAGGAAGGTGCCCAAGAAATGATGGAGGAGGAAGAGGAAATGCCAAAGCCCAAATCTGTAGCTGCGCCTCCTGGTGCCCCTAAAAAAGAACATGTAAATGTAGTGTTTATTGGGCATGTAGGTAAGTAGTTCCCAACAATGACAAAAAGTTTGATCTGGGGCTGGCACTGTGGCGTAGCAGGCTAGGCCTCTGCCCGTGATGCCAGCATCCCATACAGACACCAGTTCTAGTCCCAGCTGCTCCTCTTCTGACCCAGCTCTCTGCTTGTGGTCTGGGAAAGCAGCAGAAGATGGCCCAATTGCTTGGGCCCCTGCACCCACATGGGAGACCCAGAAGAAGCTCCTGGCTCCTGGCTTTGGCCCGACCCAGCCATAAAGTCTTAAAAAAAAGAAATGACCAAACTTCTTAGGTGCATAGACCATCTTACTTAGCTACTTGGAAATATTTAGTAAAATGGAACTCAAGCTGAAACCCATCCGTTATTTTTAGCTTGGTAGCTGCTTTCCTTGCTGTAGTTTGGGCAGATGAACAGTTTGGTAATGGTGTGGGCACTGGAAGCAAAGGAGCTTTCACATGTTGATCGGTGATGTATAACGTGTCTGCGGCCCACTATTACGGTTCAGGACACAGCAGTGCCTGTTAATTCTTAGCCTAGAAAATGCCCCTCTTTTTAAAACATTTTTTTATTTGAAAGGTGAATTAGAGAGAGAGAGAGAGAGCTTCCATCCGCTGGTTCACTCCCTCAAATGGCCACAGTGGCCAGGTCTGGGCCAGGCTAAAGCCAAGAGCCAGAAGCTTCAACCTGGTCTCCCACATGGGTGAAAGCGTTCAAATACTTGGGCCATCTTCCTTTGCTTTCCCGGGTGCATTATTGGGGAGCTGGATCGGAAGTGAAGCTGCCGGGACAGGAACCAGTGCCTCACGGGCAGCAGCCCCACCCCATTATGCCACAGTGCTGACCCCAGAAAAGTTGCCTTCTTTTTTTTTTTTTTTTTTTTTTGTATACGAATTTCAGTTAATACTCATTTTAATGGGATTAACTTTACTAGGTATTTTAGATTTTGTGTTAAGTAAGAAGTTGAAAATTTGGAGTAATTTCTAGGTGCTGTCCTGGCTGCTGGTTTAGGAAAACAGTTTATCAGGTACTACCTAATTACCCAACTGATGTTTAAAATTCGAGGAAAATGCAAAATTGGTTGCCTTTTCCCTCACCTCTGCCTTCCCCTGAAGATGAAACACCAAATTCACTCTCAGTAGCAAGAACTCCTCTGAAATAAATCGGAGAACACCTGCCCTGCTTGCTAAAACGGAAACAGGAGGGCACAGTCGTGCACCGCTCTTGGGCTGCTTACGTCCTCCAGGGCCCCCTGGGAGAATTGAGGCGCTTGTGTTGCTGTGCTGCTGGTCGAAGTGATGAGCAGTCTGTTCCAGTCCTCTGTACTTTTTCAATAAAGCCTTCCCGAGTCCTGACTGACTTGGCCCTCCCAGCAGTCTGGTTTCCCAGGGCAGACGAGAACCAGTGTTCCTGCCTCAGCTCAGTTGCTTTTGCTGGATTTGGATATGTTTGCTAAAAAGTAACTGTAGTTGTGTTTGCATAGCTAATGCTTGTCTTTAACCTTGAACATTGTTGTTCCTTCCAGATGCTGGCAAGTCAACCATTGGAGGCCAAATAATGTAAGTCTGCATCTTTGGTTGAAGAAGACTTGATTAGATTGAATGAATGTCAGGCATTATAAGCATTCTTAGAGACATACAAAAGAGAAAAAACAGGTTGAGAAAAGTTAAGGAAAATTAATAATAGAATTAATTACCTGCAGGAGAGAATGGTGTGAGGTAATTTTTACAGTGGAGTCACTGATAATGTTTTGTGGCTTTTTTTTTCTTGAAGATTTATTTTTATTTATTTGAAAGACAGAGTTACACAGAGAGGTAGAGACAGAGAGAGAGGTCTTCCATCCGCTGGTTTACTCCCCAGATGGCTGCAACAGCCAGAGCTGCGCCGATCTGGAGCCAGGAGCTTCTTCCGGTCTCCCATGTGGGTGCAGGAGTCCACTTGGGCCAGCTTCTACTGCTTTCCCAGGCCATAGCAGAGAGCTGGATCGGAAGAGGAGCAGCCGGGACTAGAACTGGTGCCCATATGGGATGCCGGCGCTTCAGGCCAGGGCTTTAACCCACTGCGCCACAGCGCCGGCCCCTGTGGCATGTTTTAAAAACAAGCACAGAACTCCGGTTACAGGGATACAAGTGGTGCAATGCCAAATGCATTTAGTGGATGTGAGGTCTGATCTTTTCTTGGGCAGTAAGATACTCTCTTGTGAATGAGGCTGCTGCCAAGAGGATAGACACGTGATCCTCTGCCCTGTGAGGTGTTGCAAGTTTGTTTCGATAGTGTGTGTTGTGTTTTCAGGTACCATCTGAAATGTCTACAAAATGCCCGTCTGTGAGAGTCAGTACTTTCTTTAAAAATATGCTTCTTTCCCCCCAAAGATTCCTTATTTGAAAGGCAGAGTGACAGGAAGAGACACAGATAAAAAGAGATCTGCCATCTGCGAATTGACTCCCCACTTGCAGCATCTGTGGATCGACTCCCCAAGTGATGTGGGGCTGGCAGGAACCCAAGCACTTGGGCCACGATCTGCTGCCTTGCCAGGAGCGTCAGCAGGAAGCTGGGCTGGGAGCGGAGAAGCTGGGCTTTAACCAGCACTCCAGTCTGGGAGGCTGACGTTGCAGGTGGCGGCTGGTAACCCACTGTGCCACGGTGCCCGCCCAGGAAAGCTTTTCTGGTGGATGATTTTGCCCAGGTGTAGCTGATGTTGCGTGTCCTTAACACCTTTAAGTTAGGCTAGGCTGAGCCATGACGTTTGATAGGTTAGGTAGATTAGATTAGATCTACATGTTTATTTTACACATCTGTTTATTTGAGAGGCAGGGAGACAGAGTTCCCATGTGCTTGGTTCAGTCCCCAGATGCCTACAACATGATTTTTTTTTTAAAGATTTATTTATTTGAAAGAGTTACACAGAGAGAGAGAGAAGGAGAGGCACAGAGAGAGGTCTTTCATCCACCAGTTCACTCTCCAAATGGCCACAACGGCCAGAGCTGCGCCCATCCGAAGCTGGGAGCCTGGAGCTTCTGGGTCTCCCGCGTGGGTGCAGGGGCCCAGGCACTTGGGCATCTTCTGCTGCTCTCCCAGGCCACAGCAGAGAGCTGGATAGGAAGTGGAGCAGCCGGGACTCAAACCGGTGCCCATGTGGGATGCTGGCACTGCAGGCATGGTTTTACCAGCTACACCACAGTGCCGGCCCATGCAACATGATTTTAATAATCCCATTTTACTTCTTCAGTATTCTGTACATTATTGTTGTTAGCCATGATTATTTGGTTAAAGTGTTGTCTGTCAGAACTCTGTACTGTAAAGTCATTCTTTTTTTCCGTATCTCATAATTTGGTCTGTAAATAAACTTTTTTTACTTAAGGCTTCTAATATTTTAGAATCTACCAGTGGTGCATTTACTATAAAACACCTGTTTTGTGAAGTTGGAGTTCTTTTCCAATTGGGTCTTTAAAGTTTTTCTAACTTAACTGAGTAATTTGTGAGTAATTAAGTATTTACCCCCCTTTTTTTTTTTTCATGTTTTTAGGTATTTGACTGGAATGGTTGATAAAAGGACACTTGAGAAATATGAAAGAGAAGCTAAAGAAAAAAACAGAGAAACTTGGTATAGTAAACTTATAGTGCCATAAATTACCTTATAAAAATAATACTTTATATAAAAAAAGAAAAATTTAAAAAAAAGAAGAAAGTAAAAAAAAAATAATAATACTTTATTTATTCAAAGGGCAAAGACAGATTGCCCATCCACTAGTCCATTCTCAAATACCCAAAACAACTTAGGCCGGGCCATGCTGAATCTAGGAGCCAGAAAAACGCAGTCTGTGTCACCCAGGTGGCTGGCAGGAACCTCGTCTTGACCTGAGCCATCAGTCCTGCCTCCCAGGATCTGTATTAACAGGAAACTGGAATCAGGAGCCAGACTTAATACCAAACTCAGATGCTCTGATGTGGGACACCAGTATCCTAATCAGAGGCTTAAATGCTAGGCCAAACATTGTCCATGACTTTCATTTCTATTAAGTTAGCAGGCCTTATCTCAGTGGGTAGTTTAGTGGTAATTTAAAAAAATATTCCTCTATATCAAAAGAGAAAAAAATTCTAATTAGTGTTACATTAAAAAAATACATGTTATAAAATATAGAGGATGGAGGGTAGTCTAACCCTTTTTTTTTTTTAATGATTCATTTATTGTAACAAAGGTACAGTGAAAGAGGGAGACAGAGAAAGAGAGATTCCAATCTTCTGTCTACTTGGTTCACTCCCCAGTGGCTCTACTAGCCAGGGCCGGGCCAGGCTAGAGCCTGGAACTCCATCCGGGTCTTCCACATGGGTGGCGGGCGCCCAAGCGCTTTCCCGTTCTCAGCTGTCCTCCCAGGAGCATTAGCAGGAAGCTGGAGCAGGAAGAAGTGGAGCAGCTGGTACGTGAACCATGCACACGTGGGATGCCGGTGTTGGAGGTGGGGCTTGACTTGCACCGAGAAGCCAGCCCCAGTCTAACACTGTTAAGCATTTGAACTATATAATGTTTACGTAGCAAAATAGTAATGAAATTTTTAACGAATCATCATTGCTCTCATAACAGTTGGTGGCCTTGACTTTCCCTTATTTGTATCGTAAGGGAGCTCGTTATTAGCTAACTCGTTGGTGCTAGCCTTTACCGTGAAGGTTGTCAGTATAGGTTGTTTCCATGTGCTTACGAAATACATGACTGCGTGTGTATGTAAAAAGCCTCATGTTTGAATCACAGTCACAGATTTTACCAGTCCTATTCACGATTTAGATGTCATGGCAGATGCGAAGCTGGGTGTCATCAATTGCGCCTTTAATGGCAGAAGAGTATCTTTGAAACTTCATGTTCTTAGCAATGCTGTTTGTTTTGTAATTATTTCAGGTACTTGTCTTGGGCCCTAGATACAAATCAGGAAGAACGAGACAAAGGTAAAACAGTCGAAGTGGGTCGTGCCTACTTTGAAACAGAAAAGAAGCATTTCACAATTCTAGACGCCCCTGGCCACAAGAGTTTTGTCCCAAATATGATTGGTGGCGCCTCTCAAGCTGATTTGGCTGTGCTGGTAAGGAAGACGTTTACGATCCATTTCAGTATTTTTTAACAGCCCCACTTACATCTTAAATATTTGAGTCTACCTCTACAAGCTAGTATTTAGGTTACAATGAACTATAATATGCACAGTCACAGTTTTCATATTTGTCACGCTAATCTGCCCAAGAAAATGTTGTCATTTACTTCTGGAATATGTTTCTACTTTGCTCTCTCATTGCTATTTTCTGTTACTGTCTCAGAGCTTAGGTCTGTGAAATGTCAGCCTACCAGGAATGAAAAAGAAACCATCTGTTTCTTGAGTCCTTCAGTCATTTTGCTGTTTTTACAATTTCCTGGCACTAGACACATAAATAATGAAATAAATAAGCATACTCAAATTCAGGAAGCTCAGGGGTGGAAGAAGCAGTACAGTCTTAAGCTGTTCAGACATTACTTGAATTATGCCGTTTAGAAAGTACATACATTGCAGCTCATTTGCTTCTATTTGCTTGCAAAAAACTTGGATGTAACTGAAAGTGTGTTCGAGTGAATGGTTTGGTTTCTTGGAATAGGTCATCTCTGCCAGGAAAGGAGAGTTTGAAACTGGATTTGAAAAAGGAGGACAGACAAGAGAACACGCAATGTTGGCAAAGACAGCAGGTGTAAAGCACTTAATTGTGCTTATTAATAAGATGGATGACCCAACAGTGAATTGGAGCAACGAGAGGTAGGCTTAGATGTCGTGCTGGTTTTTATAGACATGTTATTGGAATAAAGGCTGGATTTGTTACTGGATGCCTGTTTTCCTAAAGTTTCTCTAAACCTTCATTTGTTTACTGAAGAAACTAGAGTTATCTGGTTTACATTATAATTGAGTTATTTATAAATATTCATAGATATGAAGAATGTAAAGAGAAACTAGTGCCATTTTTGAAAAAAGTTGGCTTCAATCCCAAAAAGGACATTCACTTTATGCCCTGCTCAGGACTGACTGGAGCAAATCTCAAAGAGCAATCAGATTTCTGTCCTTGGTACATGTAAGTATCTTTTGTTTTCTTCAATCTTAGTAAATACTATAACATTGGCCTTAAAATACCAAGACCTGGACCCCCCCCCTTTTTTTTTTTTTAAGATTTATTTATTCGAAAGTCATAGTTACACAGAAGGAGAGGCAGAGAGAGAGAGGTCGGTCTTCCATCCACTGGTTCACTCCCCAGTTGACCGCAACAGCTGGAGCTGCACTGATCTGAAGCCTGGAGCTTCCTCCCAGTCTTCCCACACGGTTGCAGGGGCCCAAGGACTTGGGCCATTTTCCACTGCTTTCCCAGGCCATAGCAGAGAGCTGGATCGAAGTGGAGCAGCCAAAACTTGAACTGGTGCCCATATGGGATGCCGGTACTGCAGGTGGTGGCTTTACCTGCTATACCACAGCACTGGCCCCATTGACCTATTTTTCATTGGTCTATCTGTGTGTTACTGAGTCAGGGTTCTTTATATACTGGATACAAGTCCCTTACTGGATACATTATGAGCAAATATTTTTTCACTTTATTTATGGGATCCTTTCAAGTACAAAAGATTTTTATTACGATGAAGTCCAATTTTTTTTTTCCTTTTGTTGATTATTCTTTTAATGTCATACCTGAGAAAGCATTTCTGGATCCAGGATCACAGAAATGTACCCTTGTATTTTTTTCTTCTAAGTGTTACAGGTTTAGCTTTTAGTTATTTTTATTTATTTAATGAAGATGTATTTATTTGAAAGGCAGAGGGGCAGAGGCAGAGAGAGAGAAGTCTTCTCTCCCCTGGTTCACTCTCCAAATGGCTGCAATGGCCGGAGCTGGGCCAGTCCAGAAGCAGGAGCTGCTTCCGAGGCTCCCACACGGGTGCAGGGGTGCAAGTGCTGGGCGGTGTTCAGCTGCTTTTCCCAGGCCATTAGCAGGGAGCTGGATCGGAAGTGGAGCAGCCGGTACCCAAACCGACACCTATATGGGATGCCAGCCTGTAGGCAGAGGCTTAGCCTGCTATGCCACAGTGCCGGTCCCATTCCTTATGGAAAGAGGGACAGACAGACAGGTCTTCCATCTGCTGGTTCACTCCCTAAATGGCCACAATGACCGGAGCTGGGCACATCTGAAGCTAGGAGCAAGGAGCTTCATCTGGGTCTCCCACACAGGTGCAGGGGTCCAGGGATTTGAGCCATCTTCCGCTGCTTTCCCAGGCACATTAGCAGGGAGCTGGATCAGGAATGGGGCAGCGGGACTTGAACAGGTGCCCACATAGAATGCTGCACTGCAGGCAGCATCTTTACATGCTATGCCATAGCGCTGGCCCTAGTCTGTTAAAATGAAGTATAATGTAGTTAGTTGATTACAGCATGTGGGCTATTTACTATAAAATACTTTTCTAAATCTTATTATAATTTTATGGGGAAATTGTAATCCTGCACTATTAGCTATTAGCTTACTGAGGAATAAATGTAATGAAACAGATGATAAATTGATTGAATAAGAAAAGTGTGTAAGTAGTATGAAAATATAGCTACTTTTGTTTAAAGTTATAGTCATTAATTTCATATTTTGATATTTATGTTGACTGTCTCTAATGGATATTATTATATTCTCAGTGGATTACCATTTATTCCATATCTGGATAATTTGCCAAACTTCAATAGATCAGTTGATGGACCAATCAGACTGCCGATTGTGGATAAGTACAAGGTACCCCAAATTTAAATAAATCAGGTTTTATGGGAGGTGAAATCATTGTTTGGTGTTTTGTTTCTAATTATGAAGCAGTTTTTTAACAATGTAACATAAATGGTTTCTTATGACTGATGTTAGTGATATAAATAGGGCATAATTATTCTGTAAGTTTATGTCAGCTATTTCCCAGTGATCGTTTCTTAGCGGCAGCTTTTCCCATTAAAGTTGGTAGGTATCAAAAAATACCGTGCTGATCTCAGTCACCATCAGCAGCCTGAGTGCTAGTTTTATAATAGCTTTACCAACACTGGATGTTAAATTCGTTAAAAAACAAACTTGATTATGGAGATGTTAGCTCCTCTGTGATTAAGATCCACCCTAACCGTCCTACCGCTTTGAGCTAATGATGCTCCTGTATGAGTGAGTTGTCCTGCAGATTTCGCATTGGGCTGTTGATCTGTTGTAGCGCAGCAGTGGAGGTCTGAAGCTCGATTTTACTTATTTATTTTTGCTTCATTTCAACAGGATATGGGCACTGTGGTCCTGGGAAAGCTGGAATCGGGATCTATTTGTAAAGGCCAGCAGCTAGTGATGATGCCGAACAAGGTAAGCCGTCGCAGTGCTCTTGTCCATTCAGATTTCTTAAATATTACCAAGGAGCCGGAGCTTTTCAAAGTGTAGGATTTTCCTTCAAAGAAACTTAACTTTTTAAAAAATTAGGATGTATATTTTTAAAGAATTGTTTATTTTACTTGAAGGAGTTACAGAGAGGCAGAGAGAAAGAGGTCTTCCTTCATGCTCAGAAGTCATCTTTGTGGATGAATCAAGATGGCTGCAAGACAATTCTGTAAAGAGGGAGTTTTTTAAATAAAGATTTATTTATTTATTTATTTGAAAGTCAGAGTTACACAGAGAGAAGGAGTTCACTCCCCACTTGGCTACAAAGGCCAGAGCTGCGCCGATCCGAAGCCAGAAGCAAGGAGCTTCTTCCAGGTTTCCCACGTGGGTGCAGGGGCCCAAGGACTTGGGCCATTTTCCACTGCTTTCCCAGGCCATAGCAGAGAGCTGGATCGAAGTGGAGCAGCTGGGACTTGAACTACCGCCCATATGGGATGCCGGCACTGTAGGCGGTGGGTTTTCGAAAACCGCGATGCCACAGTGCCAGCCCCAGGTTTAGATTTTCTTAATGTAAGGTACAAGACTAGGCAGTTGTGTCTTCAGTAGAGTGTCTGGGTGTGACTCCCAACTCTGGCCCCAGTTTTGGTTTCCTGTCAAGTCTGGGAGCTCTCTCTGCCTCATGAATAAATATTTTAAAAATCGTAATAATGGGTATGCAGCCTGTGGAATGGGAGAAAATATTTTCAGCTCATTTATATGCATGTAATAAGGGTTTAATGTCCCGAATATACAAGTCAACAACAGATAAATAGCCAACCACAATAGAGTGGAGAAAGAAGGGCGAGGGTTTGCTGCAGCAGGTAGGGTACTGTTTGGGACACATAGCACGTGTCAGAGTGCCAGGGTTTGGTTAGGTCCAAGCTCCACTCCCAACTCCAGCTTCCTGCCTGACGTGCACCCTGGAAGGCAGCAGGTAATGTCCCACGTAGTTGCATCTCTGCCACCTACTGGGAGAGCTCGGTGCAGTTCTTGCCTCGTGGTTTCAGTCTAGTCCAGCCCCAGCTGTTGCAAACATTTGAGGAGTGGGCCAGTACATGGAATATCTCTATTTATCTACCTTTCAAATGAGTGAGTGAAAATTTAAAAAAAAAATTAAAAATGGGCAAAGGAAAGAAATAGACATTTCTTGAACAAGTACCTGTGGCAGGGCAGCATCTGACCTAGCAGTTAAGACACCTGTCAGGGCATTTGCATCCCTCATCAGAGTACTAAATTTGATATCCAGCTCTGGTTCCTGATATCATGTTCCTGCTGAAGCAGACACTTAGAGGTCGTGGTGATGCCTCAAGGAGTTGGGTTCCTGCCAACCTCATGGGAGGCCTGGATTGAGCTCCTAGCTCTCAGTTTTGGCCCTGCCCAGCTCCGGTAGCTGTGGGCATTGGAGAGCGAACAGCAGATTGGAAGCTCTTGTTCTGTCTGTCTCTCTACCTCTCAAATTAAAAAAAAAAATAAAGAATGAAGTACAGTGGCCAATGCTGTGGTGTAGTAGGCTGGGCCTCCACCTGCTGTACTGGCAAACCATACAGGCGCCAGTTCGTGTCCCAGATGCTTCTGTTCCAATCCAGCTGTGTGCTATGGCCTAGGAAGTCAATAGAAAATGGCCCAAGTGCTTGGGCCCCTGTATCCCCGTGGGAGACCCAGGAGAAGCTCCCGGCTTCGGATCGGCCCAGCTCTGGCCGTTGCAGCCATTTGGGGAGTGAAACCAGTGGACGGAATATCTTTCTGTCTGTCTCTCAAATGAATAAATAAATATTTTTAAAAACTTTAAGTACAAATGGTGACTATGCATATGGAAATCAGCATCATTAGGGAAGTGCGAATCAAAATTACAATGAAATATCTCTCACCCATCAGGGTGGCTGTTAGCCAAGAAAAGAGTAACCAGTTGTTCATGAGCATGTGGAGCCCCTGCACACTGTTGTTAACATAGAAGTGTACAGCTGCTATGGCAAACAGTATAGTAGTTGTTCAAAAAAATTAAAAATAGGGACTGGCTTGTGGTGTAGTGAGTAAAGCCACTGCCTGCAACGTCTTCCTCTCGTGTGGAGCGGCACTCCGGCTGCTCCTCTTCCGATCCAGCTCCCTGCTGGTGTGCCTGGGAAAGCAGCAGACGATGGCCCAAGGGCGCCTATGCTGGAGACCTGGAAGAAGCTCCTGGTTTTAGCCTGGCCCAGCTCTGGCTTTTGCGGCCATCTGAGGAGTGAGCCAGCAGATGGAAGATCTCTGTCTCTCCCTGTCTCTCTGACTTTCAAATAAATCTTGAAGTCTTAAAATTTTTTTTAATTAAAACTAGAATTCCCACAAGGTCTAGCAATGCCTTTTCAGTGGGTATATGTGAAAGCAGTGAGGCCAGATTTTCAGGTATTTGTGTAACCATGTTTGTACCAGTGTTACTCACAGTACTGAAGCGTGAATGTCACCCATGTGTCCGCTGACAGATGAATGGATGTGTATACACATACGGTGGACACTTTTCTTACAGAGGAAATTTCGACACATTACACGTGGATGAACTTTGAGGACATTAAGTCAGTCACAAAAACACAAATTAGTACGTGATTCAGCTATATGAGAAAATTTCCAAAAGTTCGTTGAAACTGGAATTAAATTATTTTGGTGCAAAAAGCTTTCAAATCCATGTATGCTCCTATGATTAACCATGGTAAAATTCATATATAGAATTCTGGTTTTGCAAGATGAAGAGTTCAGAGTTACTGCTTTTTAATTTAAAAAGTTACTCTGATTTTATGAGAGAAAGAGATCTTCTATCTAAATCTAATGACTCACTCCCCAAATACCTGCAACAACCAGGGCTGGGGCCAACTCTTCCCCTGCTCACGTGCACCCCTGCCTGCTACTCCACGCTTCTGGTCTCTTCCCCGTTAACGTGCCTGGGAGGTAGTAGGTGGTGGTGCAAGGACTTGGGGGAGGCCTGGATGGAGTTCCTGACTCCTGGCTGTTGTGGGCATTTGGGGAGCTTGATGGAAGATAACCTCTCTCTTTCTCTCTGCCACTCTTTCAAGTAAACTAAACTTTTAAGAAAATTGGCCTGTGTACTTCTAGACACAGTCGCCATTAAATTCATGTCATACATGTGTAAGGAAGCTTTGTATTTGGCTAAGCAGCAGCTTCACAGAAATGTGACTTGTAATTCTTCTAGTCGTTTTGTGTTCGTACTGAATGTGTCAGGAAATCTCCAATCTTGGTTTCTTTTTAAGCACAACGTGGAAGTTCTTGGAATACTTTCTGATGATGTAGAAACTGATTCTGTAGCCCCAGGTGAGAACCTGAAAATCAGACTCAAAGGAATTGAGGAAGAAGAGATTCTTCCAGGATTCATCCTTTGTGATCTTAATAATCTTTGCCATTCTGGACGCACATTTGATGCCCAGGTAAGCTAATTCCTGTAGTTGTCTTAGGGGTCTTTAGTGTGTAAATGAAATTTAATGTTGATGCCTTTTGTCCTGAAAATTGCTGACGTGCCACTTATCCCATAGTAGTGTGTAGAGGGGTTTTGAAGTAGTATCAACGACTGACATGTCCCGAGCAAGATGTGTATCTCACGTGTAAATTTCTTTAAGATGGTACAGATACTTGCTGAGTAGGGTGTATCTTTGTAAGTATTTTTTTTCTCCTATTGATAAAAAGCCCATCTAATACTTTGTAATACATGATAGTAATATCATTAGTCATGCTTTACCTAAAGTGTCTTTTGCTTTGGCTTGAGCACAGTTGCCTTGGAAAATGATAATTTGTATGCTGCATTCAGAGAAAAGAACTTTCCAGGCAGGAAGTCACACATAGGTTTTCTGTGTAATTAGCAACTTCACATCTCTAGGAGAATGACAAAGTTAAGGGTTAGTATGGCTTACAGAATTTTTGAGTTCTGTGAAGTTAGATTTTCATGCCAGGTACATAAAGTTGTTTATGTTTATTGGACCTCAGGTATTGTGAAATGAATTGTAAAAAAAACTTGTGGTAAGTATTGTGAAAAAACCAGGATAAGTTCACATTTCCGTGGCTCGTGGGCAGTGATGAGCAGGATTCCTGGGATGCTGGAAAGGAGAGGCTTCTCAGAGGAGAAAGTGCCTGCTGGGCTTTCAGGCTGACTAGGACTTGTCAGGGTCGTTATCAGGGTGTAGGATGCCGACATTCATGCTGTGAGGTCAGGTCACTTGGTCCTTGCTGTGAACAAGATTGGTAAAACTGTCACTTCAGACGCGTAAGTCACTTACATTGCTGTCCTGGGATTTGGAGGGATTCTAGTTCTTGTGATACTGTGTGGCACTTTGGACATTATTAAATTCTTTTTCAAACTAGTGATAAAGATAAGGACTTGAGGACAGGCTTTGTGGCACAGTAGTTAAGATGCCTCTTGGGATACCCACATCCCGTGTGGTAGTGCTGGGTTCAAATCCCTGCTCTGCTTCTGATCCAGCTTCCTGCTGATATGCTTCTGAGAGTCAGCAGGTGATGCATCCCACAGAGGAGGCCCAGATGGTGTTCTGGGCTCTCTGCCTTTTAAGTCTTTTTTTTTATGAGGATGTTTTTGTTTGTTTGACAGATAGTGATTATAGAGCACAAATCCATCATCTGCCCAGGGTACAATGCGGTGCTGCATATTCATACCTGTATTGAGGAAGTCGAGATAACAGTGAGTTTACCACAACTTGTTAATTTATATGTTTTAAGATTGTTTCATCTTGTTTCGGATTGCTAACAGTGATACAATTTTATTTACATCCTATTCTTAGAGATTCTTCTATTTGGCATTATTCTGATTTTCTCCTCCTGTTTTCTTGTGTAGGCCTTAATCTGCTTGGTAGACAAAAAGTCAGGAGAGAAAAGCAAGACTCGGCCCCGTTTTGTGAAACAAGATCAAGTGTGCATTGCCCGTCTTCGGACAGCAGGAACCATCTGCCTTGAGACCTTTAAGGACTTCCCTCAGATGGGTCGTTTTACCTTAAGAGATGAGGGTAAGAGCTTCTAAGCTGGTCTGTAGTAGTGCATCTGGGACACTGCATTTGTGCATCTGAGAACAGTGCAAGCTGGCACAGGCTCAGAAAACCTGGGCCCGTGTTCTGTAGCAGATGCTGAATGCATTGAACAGCAGGCAGAATTGACCACACATTTTAGCAGTAATGTGAAGAATCTTAATTTTGCTATTTTGTTAGTGATGGGTTTGGACAGCATTTTATTTACTAAGTATTTCTATGATAAAACACTTTATAATATGTGTAGAATACCTAATCTTTCAGAGGTATCATAATCATGTTATTTTGAATGCATCATTTCTGCCCACCTGAGCAATTGTTCCTAACTTGAGGTCATGAAATTCTTTGGTATGCAGACAGCGTGACTGTTAAAGGACATTACTTTAGGGGTTGTTACTATTTCTGACTTAAATAACTATTTTGAGACTGGAAAACTACATAAAACTTCATGGTTCATTTGAAATACCAGAATAGTCAGTCCATGTGCTAAGCCCTGGAGAGGAATCCAGCCCCTGAACTTTACTTCAGACAAAATAGAACTACAGTGTTCCTTTTTTTTTTTTTTTTTTTTTGGATAGGCAGAGTTAGAGAGACAGAGAAAGGTCTTCCTTCTGTTGGTTCACCCCACAAATGGCCACTGTGGCCGGCGCTGTGCTGATCCGAAGCCAGAAACCAGGTGCTTCTTCCTGGTCACGCATGTGGATGCAGGGGTCCAAGGACCTGGGCCATCCTCCACTGCCTTCCCAGGCCACAGCAGAGAGCTGGACTGGAAGAGGGGCAACCAGGACAGAACCGGCGCCCCAGCTGGGACTAGAACCCGGTGTGCTGGAGCTGCAGGCGAAGGATTAGCCAAGTGAGCCATGGTGCCTGCCCTTTTGCTTTGAAGTCCTTAAGTCTTCTTATTGATAGTGAAATTGTTGTTGCATTTATCCTGTTAATAAACAAAATAATTTTAGGTTACAATCAGAACCAGATAAATTCAGACAAAAGAGATTAAGGTAGCAGGAATTTTTAACCCAGAATTGTTCTAAAAGAAAACTTGGGTTTTTCCCAAGACCCCGTGGGTTTTGCATCCCTTTCATTCTACAGGAGGACTACTGGAAGGATGCATTCACTGGCCGCCAGTAACGCTTTATCTTCCCAGCTGCTTAAGGACGGGGCGGGGGGGGGGGGTGGTATTTAGATGTACAGGTTGAGTAGCATACCCCACGTCTCAGATCCAAAACTTGTCAAGCGTCAATATGATGCACAAGAATATGTGCTCAACATTCTCAAAAACTAAACAGTTTCAAACACTTCTGATCCCAGGAATTCTGGGTAACGTATACTCACGTGTATATACACGTGTATACATGTGAAATTGAGCTGTGTTTTAACTGCAGCTCAGTGAATTTTAATATGTTTACAACCGTCACCACATTCTGATGTTAGAACACTTGAAGCATCTAAAAAGGGGCAGTGGGTTAACATGCGGCTTAGGACATCTGCAGCCCGTATCCCAGTGCCTCATTAAGTCCTGGTTGCTCCCGATCCAGCTTCCTGCTAATGTGCCTAGGAGGCAATCGATGATGGCTCAAGTAATTCGGTCCCTGCCACCCACATGGGAGTTGGGGATGGAGTTCCTGGCTTTGCTGTGGCCCAGCTGCAGCACTTGCAGGCATTTGGGGGAGAGAACCACTGGATGGAAGATGGCTCTCTCTCACTGTGCCTTTCAAATAAGTAAGAATGAATAAACATATTTGAAAAAAGAAAACCTATTAAGAAACATTAGACCCATTTACAGTTACCCCTTATTCTTGCCATGGCCCTAGGCAACCACTGATCGATTTTTCTATTTGCCATGGGTTTGTTTTTCACTAAAATTTCCATGAAACCATAAATATGGGGTCCTTTATCTCACTCTTAGCATGTTTTTGAGTGTCAGCCATCTTGTAGCATGTATTCTAATTCATTCCTTTTGCTGCACAGTAGAAAATCCTGTCTTTTATAGCTCCCCAAATAAGACCCTGATCGGAAATCATGGCTTTGGCAGTAAAGTCAGTAATCTACATTTCTTAAAAAAATCATTATTTAAAATAATAATACCTTACATAGATTTGCTGTTAATTACTGAAAGTTGTTTTGTTTTTAAAATTTCATTTCTAGGTAAGACCATTGCAATTGGAAAAGTTCTGAAACTGGTTCCAGAAAAAGACTAAGCATTTTTTGATGACCCTGCACAATACTGTGAGAAAAATTGACTGCAAAAGCCTACTTCACACCGCCTTCTCTTATTTTCTGCCCATTGATAAACCTCTCCCCATATTTTGCAAAGGAAAAATTCACAGCAAAAGTCCACATTATGTCAGCTTTCTCATATTGAGAGCTCTGCTATGCCACTGTTGAATTTCCCCCGAGATCCCCCTGCCCCCTTCAAACTTTGCTCCCTTGGGCAGATTTGGCAATAGCTTTGTAAGTGATGTGGACAGAATTGCCTATAATAATGAGAACCGACAGGAATTTTTTTATTTCTCATTTTCCCCTGAGGTATATTCAGTCCTTTTCCCCAGGCAGATCATTCTGAGTGCGTGTGTGTGTGTGTGTGCACATGTTACAAAGACAACTACCATGTTAATAAACTATTCAATTTGAAAACCCTTTTCGGTATTTGAATTGCTTTTGAATAATATTTTTTATCTGGATGTAACATTGTTGCATTGACTTTGTAACTTTCCCAAGTAACTGAAGACATTTTATTGCTCTGACTTTTCTAAATTCTCCCTTCCTACTACTTTGAGGCATTTACAAAAACAATGGTCAAGTTTGTATTAAAGGAAGAATTAGTTGCACCCCTTCTTTTGATGACCAGTGCATACGTAACAATTAAATACTTTATGCGGCTGTGACACTGCTTTACTGGGTTTATCAGTTATTTTCTGCCAATTTACATTTTAACTTGCTTTCCTAAACACAGTTGACATTGTTAAGAAAACAGTAAAGTTTAATGAAATTGTGCCCCTACAGAAAATTCCACCAACATTAAACTAGTGGGATTTACATAGAGCAAGCCTGCTGAGGCCTGGCAGAAATGCCGCTCTTAGTATTTATCAGAGCTGCATGCGTGTGTTCATGAAGCGTGTAACTGACAGGTGCCACTTCGGTAAGATGCTCAGTGTATTCTTACTGTCACTAACTGTAAAGGTTGGGTGAGCCTCGCTGATCAAAGCTGAATCTCAGTCCAGTGACTTAACGAAGACACACTGGGAGTGACGAGAATTCTGCACAGACTATAATTAGCAGTGAGAAGTAGACTCACGCACAGTATACAGTTTTTAATTCTCAATTATTTGAAATGGCTGAGTTTGCTTAAGGCTAACGGTGAAGTTTGCTAACTAACCGTGATGGAGTTGAGCCACAGTGAAGCGCTGTGGCGCTTTTTAGATCGAAAGCTTTCTGCCGTAGTTGTCATGACTCGGAAATCTTTCCTAAGAGTACACGGGGAAAGGAAGACACACTCGCTGAGCTTACTGGAAGCACCCTGATGTTTAGGATTGCCATGTACTGAAGACTTGGCCTCTTGTAGATTGTGATTTCTTGCTAAATAAGATTCTTTGTGTGTTTAATGACAGCTCGCGTCCCTGTAATCTTCTCCTCAGAAAAGCCTAGTCAGACTATATTCTAGTCATAAAATTTAATCCAATAGTCTGTAGTCTTCTTACTATGAATTCCGTTCATTTCATGAATGAGACCACATCTTACAGACAAAGCTGTCCTTCGGCTTCTTAAAACTCTACTAGTGCTAATAAATTGCATGAGATTTTCATTATGTCCACCAATCTCGGGGCTTTTATTTTTCTGGGAAGTAGGGGAGCTTTGGTCAGAACTTCATAATTCTTTTGTACTTCCATGTTGGTAAGAATAAATACTAGCAGTTACTTGAATTCTCATCTTTAAAAGTTCAAGTCATTGAAATGATTTCCAGATAGATTGCCCTTTTCAAACTGAACACATTTTTAGAATCCACTTATGTTTGCTATCAAAACATTTACAGTTAGAATATATGTGCATGTTGCCAAGACTAAGTAAAACCACCTGGAAGGGTCTACCTCTAAAAAACAGCATGACACGTATACAAATTTAATTATAAAAAAATTTCAGTGGATTTGTGCGCATTTGTGAAATGCCCCATGGGCTTTGAAATTAAAAAATACTTCCATTTAAATTTGATGCATTTTAACTCCGGTTACCCCCACCAGTCATTTGGATAGGAAATCAGCAGTGTGCGCAGATATTAGGCCTTTGAAACGCGATGCGAATTCCCATGCTGTCATTCTGCCTTCTGCAAGTGTGAACGTGTTGGCGTGGTTGACCGTGCAAAAATAGGTAGATAACTGGCTTCAGTTAGAATTTACAAACTTAAACATGTCTTCCTGTCTTTAACATAAATATATTAGCCAGGATCCTCTCTGCATCCTTTCACATTAACAATATTTTTTATCAACTTTCATGTTAGATTATTTATAGGTCATTAAACTGAATTTTAAATATGTAAATGCTGTTTTATACCCTATTCCTACTGTGGGAGAAGGGAAAATTGAGCATTTGTTTTTAATTTGCAAAAAGAACTTACCCAGTGAAATTCTGTTAAAAATGAAACAATGAGGTGGGCTTGAATGTATGTTGCCGTGAAATTAAGTGACAAATAGTAGTGTTCTTGAAAAACCCGTGTATATTTCTTTGTTTTGAATTAAGATCTTGAAATGGGTGGTAACTGAATGTAAAGGCGTCATGGAGGTACAGGTTCACTAACGAGGTAATTCACAGTCGCCTGCTAATTACCTAACTACAAGAACTGCTCTCCCAGTGTGGGGCCTTGACCAGTTGAAGCACGCTGCAAGTATTCTGAGCCATACTTGCAACCAGACGGCGGTTGTACAACCCAAGAAAGAGTTGAACTCATGGTCAGAAACCGCTGCCATGTTGAGGAGGAGCACTGCCCATTACTCTGAGGTCCCGGATGACGTGACCACGCTGACACCTGTCCTCACTGGCATGGACTTGCTCGTGGACTGCTGCTTCACGGACAACGACTTCGTTGCTCTGGGTAGGGATTTAAGGTAGTCAAGGGACAAATACGCAGTATTTATTACCGCTCCTTACATCGGGCAACTTTTAACCTTCAGAACACCTTTGTGAAGATTCTGGTTACAGAGCTGTAGCTTTGGTTGTAGAATGACTGTTATATTCAGCATTGGCCTACTTTATCAGAACGGTGCCATTAATCCTCTCACAGACAAGTAAGGTAGATAGTAGTAAATTGGATTTGGCAGATGATTATCTGTCTCTAGGCTTCGATTTCCTCCAGCTACTTGTTCAGTGATTCTAACTGATGCCATTATACATTCTTGGTCTCATTTTTTTCTTAAGAGATCTTGCCATGGCAGCAATTTGTTAACTACATTTACACAACTTGAGACACATTAGGCTTAAATTTATATTAGGCTTCAGAGTAAATGGAAGTGTTTTTATTTTCCAGTAGTAATTGGTGGATTCCATTTGAACCAATTACCTACCAGCATTCAGATAGGGTAGATTTGGGTCAACTTTAGGTGGCTTAGGCCCCAGGCTGTTGATCTTCAGTATCCTAGAACTGAGAGAGTCTTCCTTCCCTTCCATACATACACTTCTCACACACCTCTAGTCTATGCTTCCCTGAAACAGTAACATGCTAGTTGGGTTGTTTACAAAGTTGTTTTCTAAGGGCCTGGTGGTGTGGGTAAGAACTAAAACCTTTTATGTTCTTCAGTACAAGGGAAAAGGCAGAGAGGCACTTGGCCTGAGTAGGCAGAAAACGCTAGGATTTCTTTTTTCTTTTTTTTGACAGGCAGAGTGGACAGGGAGGGAGGGAGAGAGAGAGAGAGAAAGGTCTTCCTTTGCCGTTGGTTCACCCTCCAATGGCCACCACGGCCGGTGCACTGTGCCTATCCGAAGGCAGGAGCCAGGTGCTTCTCCTGGTCTCCCATGGGGTGCAGGGCCCAAGCACTTGGGCCATCCTCCACTGCCCTCCCGGGCCACAGCAGAGAGCTGGCCTGGAAGAGGGGCAACCGGGACAGAATCCTGCGCCCCGACTGGGACTAGAACCCGGTGTGCCGGCGCCGCTAGGTGGAGGATTAGCCTAGTGAGCCGCGGCGCTGGCCGAAAACGCTAGGATTTCTTCAGCAATCCTGAAATACTGATGGTCTTCTGCCTGGCCACACAAGCCACTGTGTGCTTTAAGACCGCCTGGAAACCTCAGGTGTGTGGACAGCACAGGCGGGATGGCCCTTCATGCTTCCTGAGGCTCCGCTCCACCAGTGCTTCACTGTCAGCCCAAGTCCATGCTACCTCCTGTCCTGCTGCCGGGGGACGTGTCTGCTGGCGCTGGCGCTCCTGCCCTCGCAGGTGACGGGCCTCACTTCAGGGCTTCCGCACGCAGTGGCTGAAGCAGGTCTACGGTGCAAGGACTCTTACCTGGGGCTCTCAGAAGTGTACACACTTAGCTAACTTGTTTCCTGCTTGTGCTAAAAGAAACGTGGCTCTCTCTTGAGGCCAGGACTTGGTGACTAGTTTTCATTAGACAGCAGGTTAATACCTAGATTTTTTTTTTTATAGAAAGGATTAAAGGGAACCGATTAGGTTTGCTGAGTTTTTAAGCCTAATTCCAAAACATGGACGAGTACTCTAGGTAAGAAAGAAATCTTTCACTTACATGATTTGTAGCTACCTACTGTGCCTGACTTGGTGCCTGTGTGAGGATTAAGCCCTTAGTCTGCCCTTGCAATTATTCAAATGACTGAAGTTTAAAAATTTTGCTTTTGTAATAATAAAAATTGTCATCTTCCATTTTGAAGGATTTGTCTGTCTGTTCATAAATCAACTGTGTTGTAATGCTCCATGCTGTTTTATGCACAGTCCTTTATTTTTTTTTTTTAAGTTCTGGTAGAGCCAGAAAGAGAGATGTCTTCCATCCACTGGTTCATTTCCCAAATGACTGCAGCGGCCAGAGCTAGGTGGATCCGAAGCTGCTTCTGAGTCTCCCACGCAGGTGCAGGGGCCCCAGGACTTGGGCCCATGTTCTGCTGTTTCCCAGGCCATACAGAGAGCTGTATTGGAAGTGGAGCAGCTGGTACTTGAACTGGTGCCCATATGGGATGCCAGTGCTGCAGGCCAGGGCGTTAACCCACTACGTCACAGTGCCGGCCCCAGACCTTTATTTTGTATAGAGTATTGGGACCGTCTACTGGCATGTTTGGACCTAATTAAGCTCTGGCGCATAAAGAATGTATAACCCGGGTAACTGGCTGGCATGCACACTATTTGCAAGGCTCCTCTGTGGTATAGGTAACAGCCTCACAAAAACAGGAACACTACAGGAAGTTAGAGATGCTTAATCGGGTACTAGTCACTGTATATGGTTTTATGTGAGCAATGAAGCTGGGAAATGATGTTTCTGTCAGAACGGTGAGCCTCCATGTGCAGGACTCCAAATAAAGTCCAAGACCCAGTAGTACTTGCCCTCTATTGTACCAAGGGCAGTAATTAAATAATAGTGATTATAATATGACTGTCCATGTGCCTTAGTATAAGACTGCTGTTAAAGCAGAGGTTCATATTATCAGAGCTCTAAATCAATGGTTATGTGATACTCTCCAGTACTGAGCCACTTTGCACTCTTCAAGGATTAGGCTTCCAACTCCATCAAACTTAGGTTCTTTCTTGACAGAACAACTTCCCTTAAATGTCTTTGGGCACCACGTGCAGGCACCGTGCTGCAACAGGCAGAAGACTGTCAACTTCCTGGCACGTGGAACCAGTTTCAGAGACAGGCTAGCAGTGCACCCAAAGCAGAAAAGTAGCATCAACATCTTGGAGGTTGTAGTGCATAGCGAAGAAAGGAGCTGTATCTCCCAATCTAAAGTAACCGATGAGGGTGCTGGTGTTGGGGGCAGTGGGTCAAGCCACTGCCTGCAGTGCCAGCATACCACTGAAATGCCAGTTCAAGTCCTGGCTGCTCCAGTTTCCATGCAGCTCCTTGCTAATGTGTGTAGAAGGCAGCAGCAGATGGCCCAACTACGTGGGCCCCTGCCATCTATGTTGGAGGCCCAGGTAGAGTCCCAGGCTCCTGGCTTCACCCTGGATGTTGTAGCTGTTTGGGGAAAGAACCAGCAGATGGAAGATGGCTCTCTCCCTGTCTTGAAGACTCATGACCAAACAAATCAAATTTTAATTCTAAACTAAAAAGAATCTTTTAAAAGTTTAGTTTCTTTGGCCATGTGAAAGAACAGGTCCTGGAAATTATTTACCTTTTTAGTGACAAGATCCATCTATTTTAAGCTTTTAAGGCCATTTTTTAAGATTTATTTATCTGAGCCGGCACCGCGGCTCACTAGGCTAATCCTCCGCCTTGCGGCCCCAGCACACCGGGTTCTAGTCCCGGTCGGGGTGCCGGATTCTGTCCCGGTTGCCCCTCTTCCAGGCCAGCTCTCTGCTGTGGCCAGGGAGTGCAGTAGAGGATGGCCCAAGTGCTTGGGCCCTGCACCCCATGGGAGACCAGGAGAAGCACCTGGCTCCTGCCATCGGATCAGCGTGGTGCACCGGCTGCGGTGGCCATTGGAGGGTGAACCAACAGTAAAAGGAAGACCTTTCTCTCTGTCTCTCACTGTCCACTCTGCCTGTCAAAAAAAAAAAAAAAAAAATTATTTATTTGAAAGGCAAAGTCACAGGCAGGCAGAGGGAGAGAGGTCTTCTATCCACTGGGTCACTCCCCAAATGGCTGCAACAGCCGGAGCTGGGCTGATCTGGAGCCAGGAGCTTCTTCCGGGTCTCCCACACAGATATAGCCACTCAAGCACTTGAGCTATCTTCGGTTGCTTCCCCAGGCCATAGCAGAGAGCTGGATGGGAAGACGCACAGCCAGGACTAGAACCGGCACTCAAATGGGATGCCAGCACTGCAAGTGGCTGCTTTACCTGCTACACCACAGCGCCAGTTCTAAGGCCATTAATGCTGTATGACTTTAAAAAAAAACATAGTATTGAAAGAATTAACAGAGAAGGAGAGGCAGAGCAATGGAGATCTTCCATCTGCTGGTTCACTACCCAAATGGCCTCAATAGCTGGGGCTGGGCCAGGCTGAAGCCAGGAGCCAGGAAATTCTTCCAGTTCTCCCACGTGGCCCATGGACTTGGAAGAGTTGCAGAGAGGTAGAGCTGTTTTCCCAGGCCTATTAGCAGAGCGGGATTGAAAGTGGAGCAGCAGGGATTTGAACTGGCGCCTGTATGGGGTGCCAATACAGGTGCAGACCACTTAATCTTCTGCAGCGTGATTTAGGGACAAGCAGCTTTACTGGCTGTGGCACAGCACCAGCCCCTGCTATTGCCTTTTAAAAGACAGGTACTAGGGTGGATGTCTAGCCTGTTAAGGTGCCCGAGTTTGACTCCAGCTGCCTGCTAATGCACTTCTGGGAAGCAGTACTTGGATTCTTCCCAGGCTAGCCACAGCCGTTAAAGACTTTTGGGGAGTCAACCAGTGGTTGGGAGCTGTTTCTGCAATAAAGACACGGGATTTTTTAAAGCCATGCACTGTCACGGCATCCCTTCATTTTCCTCTGGATTTGGTTTGTCCTCTGTAGAGCTGCATCAATGTTAACTCTAAAAGAAATTTAAATGGTGGCCTGCACTACTGTGTGACAAGGATAAAAAGAACTGCATACATTCAAGAGATGTTAAAATGGAATAAACAAGACTTTGTTATAATCGTATTTGGGGAATGAGGATAACTCCCATATTTAGCATGGTGGGACCAATGACGCAGGGAACACGAGACGCAGGTGTGAGGGGAGGATTACCGAGTTCACAGAGTGGACTGTGAGGTTCTCATAAGACTTCTAAGTGAGGACAGGAGAGAAATACGGATGAGTTTGCAGACAGCGTGTCCACAAATCTATGGACTAATGGATAACAAATTACCCCCAATGTAGTGGCTTAAAACGCCATTTATTATCTTCAGTTTTGGGTCAGGAACGCGGAGCAGGTAGCTGGGTGGTTCTGGCTGGGTCTCCCCTGAGCCTGCTGTCACCTGGGTGGTCGACGCTGGGAGGATGGGCTGGCGGGCTGCCCCGTCGCCTCGGATGGCAGCTAGCTTGCCCTCACGATGAGGAAGTGGAGGAGGGAGAGAGGGAAAACACCCAAGGTGGAAACAGTCTTCGACCTGCTCCCGGAAGTGACATCACTGCTGTATTCTGTTTGCTGGGACAAAGTTGCGCAGCCAGGCGCACACTCAAGGGGAGGCTTGGGAAAAAGCGTGGTACTGAAGACACCCTAAAGGCCACAAAACCGCGATGATCCGCATCCTAAAGCATCATTTCCCACTGTCTCCCACCATCAGCTTAGAAACACTGGGTCTGCGATTTCTCCCAGGGAGGCTAAACCCTCAGCTAGACTGAGTCAAGTGCTAGCCTCGCCTCCATTCCTCCCTCCACTTGCTGTCTCCCGCACCCACGGTCCGCGTCCCCTCTGCTTGGAGTCACGTGCAGAGGCTCCACCCAGTGCTCAATCCAACCCCCTCGCACCCCAGGGTCCAGAAGAGACGGGTGCAAGCAGGTGCAGACCCCTTCAGAATCTTCCGCAGCCGGCGCCGCGGCTCACTAGGCTAATCCTCCACCTTGCGGCGCCGGCACACCGGGTTCTAGTCCCGGTCGGGGCGCCGGATTCTGTCCCGGTTGCCCCTCTTCCAGGCCAGCCCTCTGCTGTGGCCAGGGAGTGCAGTGGAGGATGGCCCAAGTGCTTGGGCCCTGTACCCCATGGGAGACCAGGAAAAGCACCTGGCTCCTGGCTCCTGCCATCGGATCAGCGCGGTGCGCCGGCTGCAGCGCGCCGGCCGCGGCGGCCATTGGAGGGTGAACCAACGGCAAAGGAAGACCTTTCTCTCTGTCTCTCTCTCTCACTGTCCACTCTGCCTGTCAAAAAAAAAAAAAAAAAAAAAAAAAAAGAATCTTCTGCAACGCGATTTAGAGACGAGGCCATTCCTGACTGGAGATGAGCCGAAGGCCCCTGCATGCAGGCAGCGCTTTGGGAGAAGCGACTCCCACAGGGAGCCGTCGCCCCCGCCGGCTTCCAGCTCAAGGCCTCGCAGGAACAGTGGCACCAGCCCGAGTGCCCACCCCCACGCTGCCCGCACGCACAGGCCACAGGCTCGGGCTCCTTCCGGTGTTCCCAAGCAAGCCACTGAACCTCACCGGCCCACACAGCGAAAAACGGACTAGCATAAGGTTTCTGGAAGGTTCCGGGGACACTGGACCCGTGGCTGCTGTCGGGGGGCTGGGAGTCACCATCGCCCCCCGTCGCCCCGTCCCATTCTGTCTGCGGTACACGACGCTACCTCCCGCCTCTCCGGAGAAGCTGAAGCCGGCCCGGCCCTCGGCCAGCCACGCGCCCGGGGTTCGCACGGGGTCCCCGCCAGCCCGGGGCCCGGAGCCAGGATCGCGAGGCTCTTGTCCCGCATCCATGCACTTTCTAAATTTCTCTGGTGTAAGTACAAGAGAGAGCGATGTCGCCAGGCTATCACCCGCACCGGCAGTGGAAGCGCAGGCTCGCCGCCTCAGAACCGGAGCAGCCGCCCCCGCAGGTCGTCTGACCCGGCGCGATCGCCGCTGGACGCCGGGCACCCAGCGCTGCGCGTCCCGGAAGTGACGTAGACGCTGGTGTCCTCCCCCGGCTTCCGGTTCCGGGTCTGCGTTGCGCTTGCGCACGAGGTGCAGCTCGGGCGTCTGCACGCGGTGGGAGCGAAATGGAGGACTCGGCGTCGGCCCCAGCGTCACCGTCAGCCTCCGGCTCGACTCCGGCGGACCCGACCGCCCTGGCGCAGCTGGACAAAGAGCAGGTGCGTTGCTCGGGGGGCAGGTGGTCCGGAAGCGGGGTGAGAGGCCTGGGAGGTGGGCTCGGCGGCCGGGGGCGGCCCCGGGAGCTCTCGGAGGGTCGCTTGCTGAACAAGCCGCGGATACGCGCGGGCGGGCGGGCGGGCGGCTGCTTCCTTTGCACACCCTGCGGCCTGGCTCTCTGACGTGGAGGTGCTCGTATTACCTGGGGTGGTTCCTCCGGACGGTGGGCCGTAGCCAGGTCTCCGCGGAGCCGTTAGGGACCGGGCCTCTCGGAAATGCGCGAGGGCCTGGCACAGAGTTGGGGCCTCAGGGAAGACTCGGGGCGCGTTGTGGTTGTGCGGTGTTCCTGGGGCCGCCTCTGAAGGGGGCGGGGGCCGCTGTTTGCAAGTGTGCATTGACTGTGGGAGCCCGAGGGAGAAAGTGTGTGGGAGGAGGGTGCGTGTTAAATTGTGGTTTGTTGTTGTGTTTAAGATTTGTTTATTTATTTGAAAGAATTTCAGAGAGATGAGAGGTCTTCCTCACTCCCCAGATGGCCGCAACGGCCGGAGCTGCTCCTATCCGAAGCCAGGAATCAGGAGCTTCTTCCGGGTCTCCCACGCGGGTACAGGGGCCCAAGCACCTGGGCCATCTTCCACTGCTTTCCCAGGCCACAGCAGAGAGCTGGATCAGCCGGGACTCGAACCGGCGCCCATTTGGGATGCCAGCGCCGCAGCCCGTGCCCCGTGTTACACTGAAAAGCATTTGCCTTCCCTGTGTGTGTCCACTTGCAGATTCGAAAGGCGGTGGAAGTCCTGGTGGCACATTCCAAGTCCTGGAGAAAGGAGAGTGGCCTGCTGTTGAACGAGAATGACAGCTTGTTTTTGATGGTGGTTTTGTGGAAAATTCCCAAAAAGGAGCTGAGGGTCTCCCTGTAAGTGCTGGCTTTCCGCTTTGGCTGTTGGGAATCTGCTTGTTCCCTCACTGTCCCTTTACCGGTTGTGCCTTGTTTCTCACGCCAGAGTCAGGGTAAACCATCGCAGGCATGCATTTTTCTAGAAAGTTGGCCAGTTCTCTGGGGCCTTGGTGGACAGCTAAGCTGATCGGTCCGTTACATGGAAAACCTAGCGACTGGGAGAACGAACGTGGGGTAGAGTAAACAGCTTTTGTGTTTTAGTGAACTCAACCTCCTGAGGGCCGCGACGGGCTCTTTGCAGAGACTGAGAGGAAAACCGGACGGGGAGCTTTTCTGCAGAAGAGAAGTCTGGTGCTTTTACATGCTCATTGCTGGGCTTCAGTTCAGAAAGGTCCTCTGTAGAGTTACCAGATCCAGCAAATGAAAATAGAAAATGAATACAAAATACATCTGAAACTCAAGTAGAACCGCGTGTCCTGCCTTCTGTCCGGCATCGTGGCTTGTCTGTCATGAAGAACTTCTCAGGGAATACCCTGTTTTTTCCCTCCACAAAGTGGGGAAGTTGAACAGTTAGAAGTAGGAAGATAATTTAGATTTTTGGATTCTCTTACAGCTGATCTTCCCACCCCTGCCCCAGCCAGATTGCCTGATTCATTACTGACAGATTCCGTCTGCATTCTTTTTTTAAGTTTGTTTTATTTGATGGAGCTACAGAGAAGGAGAAGCTGAGGCAGAGAGAGACAGAGAGGTCTTCCATCTGGTTCACTCCCCAAATGGCCACAGCAGCCAAAGCTGGGCCAACCCAAAGCCAGGAGCCAGGAGCCTCCTGCAGGTCTCCCGCGCGGGTGCAGGGGCCCAAGCACTTGGGCCGTCTTCCTCTGCTTTCCCAGGTGCATTGGCAGGGAACTGGATTGGAAGTGGAGCAGCTGGGACTTGAACCAGCACCCCTATGGAATGCCGGAGCCTCAGGTGGTGGCTTTACCCAGTAGGCCATGGCACCGCCCCCTCCATCTGCATTCTTGATTCCACAGCTTCGTTCAGATAGTTTCCCCTTCTGGAAAGCTACGTTTTTGAGGATTTTTTTCCCCTACACTCATTCTTGGTGGTTTCTGCCATCCCCTGGGTTTGTAGCGCTTGCTTTCTCCTAACTTGAGGAAATGTTGCTTCCTTAGCACATGTAGACCTAAGGAGACAGTGAAGCCATTGTTGGGTTCATTTTTTTTATTATTTTGTCCGTAGAAGACTAAAGATAATAGTGCATATTTGCTGGTCCCTCTTGTTTTGATCTATGTTTCCTATTTAACTTGTTTATGGAGCTCAGTTTTCCAGAAGGTGAAGTCTCAAATCAGGACTCTAGATACGAGTAGCTGGCTCTAACACAGGAGCGTGTAGGAGCGCATAGCGCGTGTAAATATGGCATCAGTGTGTGGTAGGTGTCGCTCTTATGTGTTAGCTCTTCTTACAGCCCACAGCGGCGGCCCCATCCCAAGTGTTAGTCCTGTGGGTGTTTGCGGTGATTGACTTGTCTCTGAAATCTGTTGTGTGGACGTTGAAAGCCAGTGTTTTTGCATGTTGTGCTCATGCGGGATGTGCTTCACGCACAGGCGCGGGTTGCTAATGTCAGGGCCGTCATGGATTCTGGGTGGTCACTGAGGCTGTCCGTGATCGTGCTTCCTTCTCGTTCCTTGCAGGCCCTTACCTCATGGCATTCGCTCGGATTTAGCAGAAATCTGTTTATTTGTCAAGGATGAACCCAATTTGACTCCTGAAAACACAGAAAGTTTCTATAGAAAGCTTCTGAAAAAGCATGGCATTAAAACCATTTCTCAGGTAGGAAGCAGGTTAATGTTTCCGAGTCATTTGAAAGATTTAATTCAAGTGGTATATACTGATGTGTGTTGAGTGTTTTTCTTCTGTTTTTCTGGTTTTTTAAAATTTTTATTTTGAATGTATTTGAGTGACAGGCAGTGATTCCCCGCCTCCTGACTCAGTCCCTGAAGGCCGTGGCCAACGCCAGGAACTTCAGCTCCAGCCAGGCCTCCCGTGCGGGTGGCAGGGGCCCAGGTGCTCGCTCAGGAAGCTGGAAGGGAGGCAGCGTATTTTTGTTTACTTATTTGAGAGGTAGAGTTACAACCAGTGAGAGGAAGACACCCAGAGAAAGGTCTTCCATCTGCTGATTCACTCTCCAAGTGGCCACAGTGGCAGGAACTGGGCTGATCAGGAGCCGGGAGCTTCTTCCGGGTGCAGGGGCCCAAGGACTTGGGCCATCTTCTACTGCTTTCCCAGGCCATAGCAGAGAGCTGGATCGGAAGAGGAGCAGCTGGGACTCTTAAAGTTGCTCCTTCTGTCCCACAGCATCCTTTGTCTGCCTCCCTGCGCCCTGATCTGTAGTTGACGTGTTTATCTTCATTGTGCCCCGGGTCTGAGTTTCTCGAGCCGTGGTCGTTCCTCATTCGTCTCAGTAGCCCCAGCATGTAGCGTAGTGCATTTTGGGTTCTCACGTGGTCACTAAACGTTGGAGGGCATGACTAGGCCATTTCGATTGCAAGCCCGAGCTGTGTGACTGTTTCATCTTCTTGTTCAGGGTCTTGACTTTCTGTGTGTTTACCCTTTGTGTTTTCTAGATCATCCCTTTCCGAACTCTAAAGACAGAATATAAGGCCTATGAAGCCAAGCTCCGCCTCCTGGGGAGCTTTGACTTCTTCATCACTGACACAAGAATCAGGCGGCTTTTGCCCTCACACCTAGGGAGGCACTTCTACCAGAGGAAGAAGTAAGTCGGGGCAGGGCGGAGCGCAGCAGCGTGAAACCCGTGCTGCGCGTGCTCCGTGTGCTGAGTGCCTCCTGTGTTTTCACAGATTCCCGGTGACTGTAAACCTTCTGGCCAAGAATTTATCAAAAGAGATCAATGACTGTGTGAGCGGCACTGTCTTAAACATCTCTAAAAATGGCTCTTGCAGGTCAGTGGAAGGCATTTATGTGTGCCTCTCTTTTTTTTTTTTTTTTTTTTTTTTTAAGAGATTTATTTATTTATTTATTTATTTGAAAAGGAGAGTTCGGAGATCCCTCTTCTGTTGGTTCACTCGCCAGTTGGCCACAAGAGCCAGGGCTGGGCCATGCCAAAGCCAGGAACTTAGAACTCCATCTGAATCTCCCATCTGTGTGGAAGGGGCCCAAGCACCTGGACCATCTCACATTGCTTTCCAGGTGTGTTAGGGAGCTAGATCAGAAGTGAGGTGGCTGTGACTTGAACCAGTGCCAGCATGGGATGCTGGCGTCATAACCTGCTGTGGCACAATGCCAGCCCCTATTTGTGCCTCTTTTAATTTTTTTTAATATTTATTTTTTATTTGAAAGAGTTACACAGAGAAAGGAAAGTGGAGGGGGTGGGGGTCTTCCAACTGCTGGTTCACTCCCCAATTGGCTGCAACGGCCAGAGCTGCGCCAATGCAAAACTAGGAGCCAGGAGCTTCCTGCAGGTCTCCCACGTGCGTGCAGGGGCCCAAGGACTTGGGCCATCTTCCACTGCTTTCCCAGGCCTTAGCAGAGAGCTGGATAGAAGAGGAGCAGCCAGGTCTCAAACCGGCACCTATGTGGGATGCTGGCACCGCAGGCAGCGGCTTTACCCACTATGCCACAGCACCGGCCCCTCTCTTAATCTTAAATTTCATGACTTCTATCAATTTTTTTTTTTTTTTTTTTTTTTTTTTTGACAGGCAGAGTGGACAGTGAGAGAGAGACAGAGAGAGAAAGGTCTTCCTTTGCTGTTGGTTCACCCTCCAATGGCCACCGCGGCCGGCGCACTGCGCTCATCCGGTGGCAGGAGCCAGGAGCCAGGTGCTTTTCCTGGTCTCCCATGGGGTGCAGGGCCCAAGCACCTGGGCCATCCTCCACTGCACTCCCTGGCCACAGCAGAGAGCTGGCCTGGAAGAGGGGCAACCGGGACAGAATCCGGCGCCCCGACCGGGACTAGAACCCGGTGTGCCAGCGCCGCTAGGCGGAGGATTAGCCTAGTGAGCCGCGGCGCCGGCCTCTATCAACTTTTTTAAACAGATAATATTGATAAAACAAGATCCTTCTATTAAGCTAAAATCCGTTCTTTAGGAGGTGTTCCGTTGTCTAGAACAGTGTGATCTAAAAGAATTTCCTGCTGTGGTGGAAGTGGACCAGCACCACCTGGCGTTCTGCTCGAGGAGCGCCATTTTTACTGTCCATGGTTTGGACAGGGCGGCTTGTCAGTACTTGGGAGAATCAGATTACAGCTTGCAGCGTATTAGTGGTTCTGAGTTTTTATACTGTCCTCTGGAGATACGGTATCATCCCGTAAAGTGACCCACTTCTTAGGTGAATTCAATGTCCGTCCTGTTGCCTCGGCCTGTCCAGTGTGTATTTTCCCATCGATTTAATCTTGCCCGGCATCTTGGGATAGGTGAACCCCACATGTAGATTTAGATACCCTAGAAGACCTTTTAGGCCAGTGACTGCTTCCCTAGGTGGGGAGAGAAAGCAGTGCAGTCTTTGTGAGGTCTCCTGAGAGATGGGTCAGGTTTGAGTACTTGGTAGCTTGCAGCTGTGGCAGCAAGTTTTGCCCTGTATAAAACACTTGGTCTGCTAACCTTGGGGTCTTCTCTGGCATGGGGAAGGGGAGCTCCCAGTAGGGTACGGCCCAGGAGCTCCTGCAAACCCAGAGGTTGCACATGGTGGAAACCAGACCACAGAGTTTTACTTTGTTTTTAGATTTATTCATTCATTCATTTGGCAGAGTGACAGAAAGTGAGACAGAAATCTTCTGTTTGTTGGTTCACTCCCCAAATACCCACAACAGCCAGGACTGGGCCAGGCCAAGGACAGGAGCCAGACACTCCCAGGCACATTAGCAGGAAGCTGGATTGGAAGCAGACCAGCCAAGACTCAAACCAGCCACTCTGTGGTGGCTTGGCCCACTGCCCTCAGCACCAGCGCCCACAGAGATTTCTCAGCTTTGCTCACCAGGGAAACTAGTTCTCACTAGAGCGTCTCCCACTAAGGCAGAGCAGGAGCTGGCTGGGCAGGACATGTGGACTGTGGGGTTGCCTTCTGCCTGTAGGAGGAAGCCCAGAGAGTTGGTCATTGAGCCTGGACCCCCACTCCCGGTTAGAGTCTGACGCTGAGGTGGTGGCTCATGGGAAGTGTGGTCAGCTACAGTATCAGAGGCCTGGTTTGTGGGGTCAGTGAGTGGCCAGGAGAAGGGGCAGCAGGGTGAAAGCAGAGGAGCATCCCTGTCACAGCTCCCAGCAGGTAACTCAGTGCACCGTGTTCCCTCCGGGAAGACAGACCGCTTGCGGGCCAGGAAACGTGGCTGGAGACCCCTGCTGGAGGGAGCTGCGGCCTTGGTTGTAGTTCCAGCCTCCTTTGACACACAGCAACAGTGAGCCCCTCTGCCGCCCGTGGAGGACCCTCTGGGCTTCCCGCTTGGCTTGTGGCAGCGCTGGGTTTGTTTTTAAGTTCAATGATTTTTATTTGAAAGAAGAGTGACAGGTCTTTATCCATCAGTTCACTCCCTAATTGCTCACGACAGCCCAGTGTGGTCCATCAGAAGCCTGGAGCCCAGAACTCCTTCTGGATCTCCCACATGGGTGTCAGGGACCCTAGTGCTTACACCGTTGTCTTCTGCCTCCCCGGCTGTGCATTAGCAAGAGGCTGGATTGGAAGCTTGAGGCAGGACCCTGTCGCAGGCACTCAGATGTGGGATGTAGCTGTCCTGACTGGTGGCCTGACCCACTGGGCCACAACACACGCACCCTACACCCCACACCCCACACCGCTCTGACCAAAGGGGTGATCTTGCCCTTGGCCAGAGACAAGCTGTTTATTTCAGAAGGAGCTGGGTTAGGGGAATAGAGCTGTAAGAGCGCAGACCGCCGTCAGGAGTCATCCCCTCGACACAGCGGATGGATGGCTGCAGCTGGGGGTGTTCGGGGATGAAGGAGGACCGCCTCTGGCCTGCCTGCCGATCCTCTCTTCTCACGTGGTCAGGGCCAGCCCTCGAGCCACCTGTTTGCGACATGACGTTTTCAGTACCTGAGAGATGGTAGTTCTCCTTTAAAGTGCAAGTGCATTTATAACCTGTAGATCCTGCTGTTTAAAAAACAGCCGTAGGGTTGTGTGCTGTTCCCCAGGTGACCTGCCATGCTTCATGTGAAAACTTGTCCGACACTGTTCCATTTCAGCACCATCCGCGTCGGGCACACTGGCATGCAGGCGCAGCACGTGGTCGAGAACGTCGTTGCCGTCACGGAGAGGCTCTCCCAGAAACTGCCCGAGGTACGGTCCTGCGGCTGTGGCAGCTGCCGGCTCAGGCGGGGGGAGCGGCCGGTGACCGCATTCTGGGTCTGTTTCAGAAGTGGGGGAGCGTGAAGCTCCTGTTCATGAAGACCGAGAAGTCCGTCGCACTGCCCATCTTCTCCTCGTTTGTCAGCAGTGTGGACGAAGCGAGCAGAGTGTCCCTGCGGGCCCTGAAGAGCAAGGTCAGGGGGGTTCAGGTCTGGGTGGACTTAATCAAGGGTGTGGGTGGCTTCAGAGGCGAGGACGTGGGTACCGTTCTCCCTGTCTTACCGAGACCACTCATTTTCTGGTACCTGTGCTTCTAGATTTGTTGGTCTCATGCTACGTGTGAGATTGGTTAATATTGGTGTGAATAAAATACATTAAGATAGATAGAGCTTGTACTTATTGCTAAGTTAATTATTTTAATTTTTTGATTTTATTTGCAAGGCTGCGTGACAGGAGTCCATTTTTCACTTCTCCACTGGTTCACTCCCAAATGCCCTCAACAGCTGAAGTTGGGTCAGGCCAAAGCTGGGAGCCAGGAGCTCCGTCCCGGTCTCCCATGAGGGTGGCAGGGGCTGTCATCTGGTGGATTTGCAGGGAGCTGGATCAGACGCAGAGTAGTAGGGACTAGAGCTGGCGCTCTGCTAGGGGATGTGGTCACTCCGAGCTGCAGCCTCACCCGCTGTGCCACAGTGACTGACCCAGGTATTGGAAGTCTGACTCTGTCTTAGCTATGGAGGTTTATAAGTGGTTGGTACAGAGGCAAAAGGTAGCTAAGGGAGAAAACCTAAAATGTAGTTTATTGACTGTTGATGAGCAAACTTTAAGGTTCAGTTAGGCTAACAGATGCCTCTCAGTTCCGGTTTCTAGGTTGCACATTACAGTACATAAATTACCAGTGTGTTATATGAAATGCTTTGGGTAGGACTCACAGACAAGGGGAAGCTGAGGTTCAGTGCTGCTTGTGGGGCTTGTTCTCTCCTGTACATCAAGGCCCTGCAAGCTCAAGGAGCTTAGGAGGACTCGCAAGTTCAAGTGCTTAATCAACAGAAGTATTTCTGCTAAAAGTTATGTCTCGTGTTCTTTGGTAGGATGCCAAAAAAAAAGAAGAAAAGAAAAACCAGGAGAAACAGAAGCGCAGGAAGAAAAACAAAAAGTCAGCGGTGCAGGCCGGCCAGGCTGCGCCAGTCCCCAGTAAGGGTGACAAGGCACCTGCAGAGGGCGCTGCTGCGTTGAAGGGCCCCGCCTCCCACAAGAAGCCCGGCCAAGGAAAAGCCCCGCCGAGAAAGACGGAGGACTCCGAAGATGAGATTCCGCAGCTGGTGCCAATAGGAACGACTCCAGCTGACAGTGCCGAGGTAGTGATGGTTCCTGTCCACGGTGGCCACTGTGTGGCAGGCTCGCATACCCTAAGTAACAAGTGATGAGCAACACGAGAACAGCCATGTTGCTTTACCCTCCTTTCCTGTGTGGGCGTGATGGACGGTCACACACCACTTACTTGCAGGGATACCGTCAGATTTGAGTGTCTGTGTGCAGGTGTCACGGTGGACTACAGCCCAGGTCAGCCCTCTGCCTGGGCTCTCACTGCAGCCTGAGGCGCAGCGAACACGGGTGCATGGGGCTGCATTATCAGAGAACCACAAAGTAAACTCTTCTGAAATCCAGGAGTTAAGATTTTGCTAGGAACCACTGGAGGCAGAGGGCCTTGGGTTGTTTTGTTTTGTTTCCAGAGATTTTATTTATTCCGAAGAGTTACTGAGAAGGAGAAAGAGAGAGATCTTCCATCTGCTGGTTCGCTCCCAGATGGCCGTAAGGTCCAGGGCTGGGCCAGGTTGAAGCCAGAAGCTTCCCCCAGATCGCCCACGTGAGTGGCAGGGGCCCAAGCACTTGGGACATCTGCTGCTGCTCTTCCCAGGTCATTAGCAGGGAGCTGGATCAGAAGTGGAACAGTGAGGACATAAACTGGTGCCCTTATGGGATGCCAACAACACAGCCAGCAGCTTTGACCATTGCGTCACAACCCTGGCCCCAACTTGGGTCTGTGGAAGCAGGACTTGGGCTGATGTGTGTGGTATAGCAGGTAAAGCCACTGCAATGCCAGAAAACACACATGGGTGCTGGTTCCAAACCTGCTCCACGTCCGACCCAGCTCCCTGTTAACATGCCTGGGAAAGCAGAGGAAGGTGGTTCAGGCCCGTGGGCCCCTGCACCTACATGGGAGACCCAAAGAAGTTCCTGGCTCCTGCCTGTGGCCTGGCAGAGTCCTGGCCGTTACAGCCCTCTGGGGAGGGACGCAGTGGATGGAGGATGTCTGTCTCTTTCCCTCTAACTCTGCCTTTCAAACAAAACAAGACTCAGGACAGTAAATTTCTTAAGATTATTTTTAGGACTCACTTTCAGAAATAGAATCATATACTCCACTTTCTGCCCTGACCGGCTTTGAAAATCCACGGACAGTGTGCCTTTGAATTATCCATGTCTGCAGCCCCTCGCTGCTGATAGGTGAGAGCTGTTAACTACGGAGCGCGCACTCTTGGCGGCAGGGCAGTCAGTGCACGTGCGAGGGCGCTGCCGTAAGTCTGTCCTGGAGCTGCGACACTCCTGTCTCTGAGGAGGCTGCGTGGCTGCTTGCGGCCCTGCCATCCCGAATCAGCACTGGGGTGAGTCCCAGCTGCTCCGCTCTGATCTGGCTTCCTGTTAATGCACTTTGGGAAGGTAGCAGAAGACTGTCTATCTGCTTGGGTCCCTGCTACCCACATGGGAGACCAGAATATCTTAAAAAAAAAAAAAAAAAAAAAAAACTAAGGCATTCCAGTGGCCTAGTGAGCTCTGTCACAGCCGAGGTTTCGCACGTTTGCAGTGAAGCTGGTGTGGAGCTCACCAAGCTGTCAGTCCTGTAAAGTGTGCCACATGCACGCCCCACAGCACACAGGACTCGACAGGAAACAGCTACATTACCGATTTGTGCGTTCATTGCGTGTTAGGGAGTATTAGTGTGACTTAGAACATCCGCCTCCAGCAGTCCTGACAGGAATCGGAACTCCTGGATTTCAGAAGAGAGTATTTTGTGGGTCTTTGATAATGGCTTCATTTGTATTCACAGTGTCTGTCTAGTTACTGGGGGGTGCTGTCTCACAAGTCAGGGAGTAATGCGTCTCTGAGACTGGAGGGCTGCTCTCGCCACGTGTTCAGAGAAGGCTCGCCAGCCCCCGGGCCAGAGCAGGCAGCAGCGTGTGGGTGTGGTCCCCGGCTGTCACTGCACTTGACCTGTTTTTAAAGTGCCTCCAGAGTGCTTGAGGGTTTTTCACATTAGCTTAAGTGAGCATCGCGCTAATTGTACACTGTGTAATTATTTTTAGAAAAAGCCTTCAAAAACAAGTCCTGGTCCCAAGACACCTCGTGGCAAGAAGAGAAAGGCCTTGCCAGCTTCAGAGACCCCAAAAGCTGCAGAGCCTGAGACCCCCGAAAAAGGCCCAAGGAAGAAGCCAAAAATCAAACAGACAGACAAAGAAAGAAGCTCTTCACTGGGGAAAAAAGACGCAAGACAGACTCCAAAAAGACCTGAGGCCAAGTTCTTCACCACTTCCGGTAAATCTGCCAAGAAAGCTCCCAGCACCCCCAAACGGTGGCCAAAGAAATCCAAAGTGCTCCAGTCAACCTAAAGTCTCCGACCCAGCCAGAGGAGTTGTCAGCTGCCCAAGGAACTTCGCAGGATACGAAGGCCCAGCCTCCACTGCAGCCTTCGCCAAGAGCGAGGCCCGGGCTTCACCGTGGCCTGGTTGTAAGAACCGTGCTGTGAAGTGAAATCTATTTTTGATCATTCCTGTGTGTATTTGCTAATACAACAGAGGGAAGATAGAGTGCTTCTCCATTTTTTATTATTAAATATATCATTGGCTTCTGAGGCAGGCGTGCTGTGGCATTCTCAATCTCGTCAGCGTGACTTGAGCCTGTTGGTGTGATCTCTCCCCTCGTCGGTCACACATCAGCTGCAGGATTTGGGGCAAGTGTGGGTTCCTTGGTCCCTCGTGCTGAGGTGGTGGTGAGTCCCTGAGGTGGCAGGCTCAGGGGCAGAGAAGACAACATGGGGTCATTTATAGAGACCCCAACTTGCATCCTACCTAGTGGAGATGGCAACATAACTGGGCGGGGGTTAGGGAGTGGGGAGCCAACCCAGAATTGCAGGTTGTGTGCCTGGGAGAACCCTTGGAATCACAGGGAAATTCATTGTGAGTAAGAAGGTGCTTGGGGCCAGCGCTGTGGCACAGCAGGTTAAAGCCCTGGCCTGAAACACCTGCATCCCATATCGGCGCCGGTTCTAGTCCTAGCTGCTCCTCTTCCAATCCAGCTCTCTGCTATGGCCTGGGAAAGCAGTAGAAGATGGCCCAAGTCCTTGGGCTCCTGTGCCCGCGTGGGAGACCTGGAGGTAGCTCCTGGCTCCTGGCTTTGGATTGGCACAGCTCCAGCCTTTGTGGCCATCTGGGGGTGAACCAGTGGATGGAAGACCTCGCTCTCTCTGTCCCTCACTGTCTAACTCTGCCTGTCCAAAAAAAAAAAATCTGCAACACAGAATACATGTTTACTGTGCTGTCCAGCTGTAGCCTAATTGATGTGCTTCCCAGAGAAACCAGGTTCTGTGGCTAGTGGTCAGACCAGGTTCACCGGAGAGCTGCTGCGTGTAGGAGAAACGCACACACCTGCTCATGCTGATGGGTTCTCTCCGTGGTGTCATTTTGCGGGGACAGCCATACAGCTTGTTCATCCCATCCTCTCACCGGTTGAAGATTTGGCAGCGCCAGTGATCATTCTGGCGTACAGCTTGGTCTTGCCCAGTCTGTTTACTTTTTTTTTTTTTTTTTTTTGACAGGCAGAGTGGACAGTGAGAGAGAGAGACAGAGAGAAAGGTCTTCCTTTGCCGTTGGTTCACCCTCCAATGACCGCCGCTGCAGCCGGCGCACCGCACTGATCCGATGGCAGGAGCCAGGAGCCAGGTGCTTTTCCTGGTCTCCCATGGGGTGCAGGGCCCAAGCACCTGGGCCATCCTCCACTGCACTCCCTGGCCACAGCAGAGAGCTGGCCTGGAAGAGGGGCAACCGGGACAGAATCCGGCGCCCCGACCAGGACTAGAACCCGGTGTGCCGGCGCCGCAAGGTGGAGGATTAGCCTATTGAGCCACGGCGCTGGCCCTGTTTACTTTCTTAGACCTGCATCTGGTTTCACTCTAGTACGCACTCTGTTGAAAAAAGTAGATTTGATTTCCTTGTCCCGGAGGCCACAGTTGAGGAATTAGAGATAGCTGTAAATTGTAATTAGAAAGTTCAGACCGTGGTATTGGGTTTCCAAGCTTAAGAAGTAAGGGCTACACACCCCTGGCAAGGGGCTCAGGCTAGAAGCAGCGTTGGTCCCCTAGGGCCAAGAGGCGACCTGCGTGTCGAATGAAGAGGCTGGTGATTGGCTCGGAGTCACTGCTGGCTGTCTGGAATCTGTCCTCGCTGCCAGGGAGGTGAATGGACACAACCAACACTGGTGGAGGAAACTCGAGGGCAGCCTTTGCTTGTCTGTTTCTTTAAGCTTATTTCTCTCAACAGCAGAGTGACAGGTCATCCATCCACCGGTTCACTACCCAGATGGCCACAGTGGTCAGGACTGGGCCAGGGCCAAGCCAGGAACTGCACCTGCATCTCCCAGGTGGGCTGCAGGGCTGCAGGTGCTTGGGCTGTCCGCTGCTGCTTCCCGGCAGGTCCGCAGGGAGCTGGACTGCAAGTGGAGCGGGCAGGGCTTGAACTCTGGGCTGCTGGCATCAAGCAGCAGCTCGACCTGCTGCACCAGCGCACTGCTCCCAGCTGTTCAGTTCTGAAGGTTTGAGTTTTAGTTCATTTGTTCATTAGGAGCTGTAATAGGGCAAGAAATCTCTTATTTTTAAATACCCAGAATGTGTGTAAGGCAACCCAAGTGTTGACTATAGATCATACTGAATTCTAGATTTCCTGATATAATAATGAGGGTAGGAAGAAGTTGGTAAGTATCATATAGTTGGGGTTTTTTGTTTGTTTGTTTTTTTGACAGGCAGAGTTAGAAAGGTCTTCCTTCCGTTGGTTCACCCACCAAATGACCACTGCAGCCAGCGCACCGCACTGATCCGAAGGCAGGAGCCAGGTACTTCTCCTGGTCTCCCATGGGGTGCAGGGCCCAAGCACTTGGGCCATCCTCCACTGCACTCCCGGGCCACAGCAGAGAGCTGGCCTGGAAGAGGGGCAACCGGGACTAGAACCCAGAGTACTGGTGCCGCAGGCAGAGGATTAGGCTAGTGAGCCGTGGTACCAGCCAAGTTTCATATAGTTTTATCATCACCTGACCCAAATCTTTTAAGTTATCAGAGGCCAAAAAATCCTGTCATTTAAATATCTGAAGCCTCTGCGCTCCACATTTTTTTAAAGATCTATTTGAAAGGCAGTGTCACAGTACGAAGGGGAGAGACAGAAATAGAGATAGGAAGATCTGTGGGTTCACTCCTCAAATGCCCAGAGCAACTAGGGCGAGGCCATGCGGAAGCCAGGAGCCAGGAACTCCATCCGAGTCTCTCATGTGGGTGCAGGGGTCCAAGCACTTGGGCCATCTTCCACTGCTTTCCCAGGCCACAGCAGAGAGCTGGATCGGAAGTGGAGCAACCAGGATTCGAACTGGCGCCCATATGGGATGCTGGCACTGCAGGCTGTGGCTTAACCCACTACACCACAGCGCCACCCCACATGTTTTGGTCTCACTAAATTGCTGCTGTTTTTCTTGCCTACAATTGTGTTAATGAAACACGAATCCCAGTTAGGGCTTTATGAACCATGAAAAGCCTTATCAGTCCTCGGGGAACCGTGCATGCAATCAGAAAACCGTAAAATTTGACTTCTGGTGATTGTTGCAGTGTATAGGTCCTGGAGAGGAAAAATGCTAAATTATTTAAGTGATTCTCAACAATTAAAATGATGGATATCTAGTTTATATAACCCCATCGAGGCATTTTCTCTGTTGCAGGAATAGGACATAATTTGGATTTATCTAGCGAGGTGTCCGCTTTCTAAAGGACACAAGCTGATAATGTGAATGAGACTCAACTTTGTCTTACAGACTTCCCTCCATGTATTTCTCCTGTGTGAGTCCCAGAGCTCACACGGAGGGGCTGGCACGGTGTGTGCAGGTTAAGCCACCACCTCCAACACTGCATCCCATACCAGGTGCTGGTTTGAGTCTCCACTGCCCCACTTCCGTTACCCTCCCTGCTAATGCACCTGGGAAGGCAGCAGAAGATGGCCCACATCTAGGGCCGCTGCACCCTGTGGGAGACCCGGATGGAGTTCCTTGTTGCTGGCTATGACCTGGCCAGCCCTGTCTCAGGCATTTGTGAGTGAACCGGTGGATAGAAGATCTCTCTCCATCTCTTCTTTCCCAAATTCTAATTGATTAGATTTCTACACATTATTAATGGGCAATCAGGAAATTATAAAAACAATTCCATTTACCATTGTGTCAAAAGAATAAAATACCATGAAATTCAAGTGTAAGTCGTGAACACTGGAAATCACAAAATACTGAAAGATCTAAACAGATGGTGAGACCTGACGTGTTCTTGGATGGAGTGAGTTACCATTAACAGGCAACACTTCAGAGCTGGTGCTGAGGCATAGCGGGTAAACCAGCATCCCATACTGGCACCCTTTCCAGTCCCGGCTGCTCCGCTTCCAAGTCAGCTCCCTGCACATGCACCTGGGAAAGCCGCACAGGATGGCCATTACAGCCTTTTGGTGAGTGAACCAGCAGATGGAAGATCTCTGTCTCTCCCTCTCTAACTCTGCCTTTCAAATAAATAAATAAATCTTTAAAAAAAAAAAAAAAGGGAGGGTGGGGGCTGGTGCTGTGGCGTGGGGGGTAAAGCCACCACCTGCAGTGTCAGCATCCCATATGGGCACCGGTTTAAGTCCCAGCTGCTCCTCTTCCGATCCAGCTCTCTGCTATGGCCTGGGAAAGCAGTAGAAGATGGCCCAAGTCCTTGGGCCCCTGCACCTGCATGGGAGACCCAGAAGAAGCTCCTGACTCCTGGCTTCAGATCAGCTCTGGCCATTGTGGTCATTTGGGGAGTGAACCAGCAGATGGAAGACCTCTCTCTCTGCCTCTGCCTCTGCCTCTTTGTAACTCTACCTTTCAAAACAATAAATCTTTAAAAAAAAAAAAAAAGTGCTTCATTCAAATTGATCTACAGAGTCAGTGGAATTCAAAGAAAGATGTTTCTTTCCAGAAATGAACAGCATATATCCTAGTATAATCTTTAAAAAGCAGAACAATGTTGGAGGGGCTTATATGCCTCAATTAATTAAAACTTACTGCAAGACCGCATGGTGAGCCCTGCCCTGTGGTGTAGTGGGTTAGGCTGCACCCTGCAGTGCCGACATCCCATGTGGGGACCAGTTCCAGTCCTGGCTGCTCCACTTCCGAACCTGCGAATGCACCTGGGAAAGCAGTGGAAGATGGTTCAAGTCCCTGCGGCCCTACACTCTCATGGGAGATCTGGAAGAAGCTCTTGGCTGCTGGTTTAACATGATTGACTGGGAGGATGCATGGACAGAAGCCTGGCCTAGGACAGCTGAGCTAGAGGAAAGTGGCCCACTGCTAACCTAAGTGCACCTGGGCTTCCTCAGGAAATATTAACATTCCAGATAAGGGACACTCCAGGATCAGCCCAGCCAGACAAGCCCTGCAGGACAAGCCAATGACTGCCTTCCCTCCAGCCCAGGAAGACCTCCAGGGTCACCCAGAGGGCAAGGTGGCTGTCACACTGAGGTCCTCCAAGGGGGAAGTCTTGTGATGAGGTTTAGTTTCTTTATGTTATTTGAAAGTTACAGAGAGAGAGAGCTTCTG